TCTCGGTTTCAGCCCCTAGATAATCTAGTGGTTTAGTGTTTAAGGACAAGAATTAAAACACTTATATCCATTTGCCTTCTCACTGCCCCATGCAGGTCCTTTTATAAAAGTGCCTGTGACGCTTTGACAGTAAACAATCTGCAGTCTGAGCAAGCAGTGCTATTCAGCAGGGAGGAATTGAAGTGCCCTTTTCACCTCCTACTATATGCTGCAGGCTGCGGAGATAATTTTTTTAAGTCTAGGCCTGGGCTTGTTGGTGGCAGATATGAAATGGGAAATGAGTTGCTGACCTATTTCTACAGCAAGCTTTCCTTGCATTTTGCACTTTAAGGCCCCAAACTATTAACACAATGGTTTCAGACAGTTTAGCTGAACAATACATTAATTTTAATAGGGATGTACTAACGCGAGAGGATGAGGGAGTTCTTCTTTAAATTAGAACAGGCGCAGAATGGTGATTAGAAATACACTGTGTAAATTGGCAATTAAGCTTGCACATCCCTAAAAAAAATTTGTAAATGTATCAGAGAAGAACAATAAACCATGTTCAAAGCTCCTACAGTAAGTTGAATCCCATCTTAGTCATTCTTGAAGTAGGGCAATTGAAATCAAAGGAAAGTAATGACTGAGTTAAGTCACATTGGTTTTACTAGGTTTTCCCATTGTCTTCAACCTAAAGTATTCTGCTCGGAGTATAGCCATGTTGCTTGGAGGATTGTTGGTACTTGTATTATTGAATGCAATAGAGGAGATTGTTATTAAGGCTAGGGTGCTGTCCTTAATTAGATGCTGCCATTATATTTCAATAATACAGTAGTACCTCGGGTTAAGTACTTAATTCATTCTGGAGGTCTGTTCTTAACCTGAAACTGTTCTTAACCTGAAGCACCACTTTAGCTAATGGGGCCTCCTGCTGCCGCCGCACCGCCAGAGCACGATTTCTGTTCTCATCCTGAAGCAAAGTTCTTAACCTGAAGCACTATTTCTGGGTTAGCAGAGTCTGTAACCTGAAGTGTATGTAACCTGAAGCATATGTAACCCGAGGTACCACTGTACATGCAAAGTGAGCCCTGATTCACACTGAGGTGGAATCTACACATATGTTTAAAAAACACTGTGAAAATGCTTTTTTGAAAAACGTTTTGAAAAATACATTGAATTTGCCATAGCTCGCTGTCTTCATCTAGTGTCACATTTACAGCACACTTAAAAGGTTTTTATTTGCAGCTGTATAGCCTAGTCCTGAGTATTTCTAGTTGAGCTGCTTGTCATTATTTCTCAACTAAACACACACACACACACACACACACACTCCGCTGCCAATTATTATTGGGTGTGCTGTACACTCAAGCTTCCTTTCCTTTGTCCATTAAACTGAGCATTTCCTCTTTCAAAACATTAAAACCATATCCTGTTTCCTTGACATTAATATTGTCCAAGGCCATAGGTGGCATTTAGATCTTGCACAAAAGAGAATTTAACTGTCTTTCCCTAGCTTGATGTTTTACTACAGCTTGCATCTGAGGTTGAGGGCTGCTTTCTTTTCATCGAGGCTTTATTCCTTTTGAAAGAAGAATGTCATCCACTATTTGCCTTGAAACAGTTCAAGCTTGTTTTCATTTACTTGGAAGTGAGCCAAATTCAGGAGACCATTGTTAACTGCACCTTGGAAGCAATGTAACTATCCTGGAATGGTTCCACTCAGAAGCCCTAGATGTAAGCTTTTAGATTTGCAAGAATAGCACAGCTGACCAGGATTGCTTTAGCTTATAAACAAAATGAGCTGTGTTGCTTTTCTTTAACAAGTGAAATGAATACAATAGAAATCAGCTTTAGTACTGGGACTTCCAAAACTAATGGAAACATAAAATTAAATAGAAAGGTAATGAAGGTGATCAAAAGCATGGCTGAGAAGCCCTTTTATCCATGGAGATGTGTCTAGTAGCATTTTTACTTGCTGCTTGTTCAGAAACTTTTCAAATAATATATTCCACATGTGCAAATGTAAACATAATGAAATTGCTGCTCATTGGAGGAGTCCACTTATACATAATAGTCAGCAGAAAATCTTTACATTAGAAACCATAATCCTTTTGTATATTTACTTTATCGTATTCATAATCTGAAAAAGATAACATTCATAAAATGCAGTTTTTGGTAGCCATATTCACATGTGACTATTCACCTTGGAGACTGCATTCAGAAAAGCAGAGCTTCATAGCTGCAATACACCTCTCTTCAATTTCCAAATAAAAGTACTCATTTTCCTACATTTGCAAATCCCCTCCTTTGTTCTTCATTGTGATGTTCACCCCTTCTTAGTATTTTCTTTACATTTATTATTATGCTACTGTAAAAGGATCAGCTGCATGCCTAGCGCTGCACAAAAGGGCTTTCCCAATCTGTGTTAGATCATGGAACAAGTAGACAAAGAGAAATGGACAAAAAGGGGGCAAAATTGCTTTAGAGCTTAGGGTGTTCGGTTTTCTTTTGTGGTCTCGTAGTGTGGGCATGCACCTTTTCCAGCTATTGTACAATGAACACCACAACTGATGGCTTGAATGATATTCGGGAGTTGACTGGGTATGATTTCTCTTAGAGTGTGGTTAATTTTAAACCTTTACAAAGAGAGAAACAATTTTTTTTTCTGTACAGAGGATAGATATTCCTGTTGATCAGGCAGGCTAGGAAAGAGTTAAGTATTTGTCTTGCCAAAACTGCTTAACTATGTTGAGGTGAATTACTTTTTCTCCAGACTTATGTAGACATTTATCCTTTATCATGAGGTTATGCTAAAGCTAACCGGATACTGGGAGGAGAGAACGTTGTGTCATTGAGCTTGATAACAGAATCAAACAAATGCTCAGTGCTACTTGTTTCAGCCTACAGATGGTCTTAATGTAAGTTCAGCCAGCTTTTTATCTCTGGTTTAGCTGCTATGACAACTGCACTGCTTTCAAATGCCTTGTACAAATGATCTTTGAGAGTGCTGAAAGTCATTGATATTCTGAGTGTTTTTCTACTGCAGGCAGCAACAAACCTTCCCTGTACTCCAGCTCATATTTACTGTTATCATAGAGGGTAATGAATGCACGTTTTGTCATTAGACAAGTGGACTGAAAGTGATAAAACTAGGATTGCAGATTTAATAATAAACTAAGCACAGTTACAAGAGAGTATGCCCCACTGAAAACAGTGTGGCTTACTTCTGAGTAAACATGCACAGAATTGCACTATAATTCTTTATACACTCCCCCCAAAAAATCACCAATAGCTTTTTCTTCCTTTTCATTTCTGTTTATTTTCTTTTTCCCCCTTCTGTTTTGAAATTCTGGTATTATTTCATGAGGGGGGGGGTAAGTGAAATTAATATTGAACTCATGTGGTCTTAAGGCATGTTCATAATTTGTCTGTTTTGTTTTTGTTTTATTTTAAACATAGCTGTGTAAAGAAGGCCTGCCATTTATTCTGAATCGACATAATTGTCACATGAAAAGGTTATTTTTAAAATACACGACCAGGTTGCAGTTACATCAGTGTTTCCAGATCCAGTCAGAATAATAGCCACAAAAAATAGTCTCCCCCATTATCCCGGCGTATCATCCCCCATGGTGGGTAATCTCATAACTGTGGTGGCGAGATTGAGAGCAGGCAAAAGGAACCAGTTTCAGCATTTCAGAAAACAGTTCACCATTTCAGAAAACAGTTCACAGGCACATCAAAGGCTTCCCAATTTCAGGCTTTTGGTGCCTTGGTTCCCACTCATGGTTGCAGTACTCAGACTCCCAGCTCAGTTATTGTTAAAGGCTTTATTCCGAAATTCACTGCAATGCCCAAATGTAGATCAGACCACAGTTTACACAGTTCAGAAGTTCACAGCAGAGCTCTGAAATACATGGTTAGGAGTAAGCTAAAATGTCTTGACACCTAACACGCTCCCTGAGCTCCCCTTTTGAAGGACAGAGTGGGCACTGTTCAATCAATCCACCAATCAGTCAATCAATCAATCAATCAATCTTTTTTGTGGTCAAAGACCAGACAGCAAAGTCAATGACAACAACATATGCGACATCTGCATGAAGAAGTGGACATAATTTAAAAAATTCCCTTAAAATTAATTACATTAAAAATAACACTCCTTCAGCTAAGGTCTGTATTCCAGAGATTAAAAGTGCACAGTTGTTGTCCCGAAATATGGGACTAGGCAAGCCAGCAGGCCCACCTACGAGTTGTTTGGGTCTGCTTACACCAGCATAGCCATTGCAGCATTCTTAGTGATGGACATGTAGTTGACATGGCTTGCCTCACTGTCTGCTCTAGTCTTGGATTCCTCCTTTTCGGGACAGAAGATACTTCACTAACAAGGTGGGTTGCCAGAATCAAGTCAGGTAGTTCTACTGTGCCAGTCAAGGCAGCCCATAACACTGATGTGGGAATCTCTGCCAACAACAAACTGGGCACGTTCCCACCATCTAGACCAGCGTTTTCTAGATCTCTTGGCCCTCTCCAGGATCCAGTTCTGCACATTTGTCCCATTCTTCTCCCGCTATGACCAGCTCTGCCGAGATATCTCAATGCAGTTCATGACAGCTGAGCTCATTTGTACTCTCTAGCACTACCAGGAAATTTATAAAATAGCTGCAATTTTGTTCCCCTTTCGACAGAAGTGAATGAAATTTGTAGGCACAGTAGTTCATTCAGAGTAGATACAGTCAAAATTAAATTGTCTGCCAAGTTACAGACAAATCTTCAGGGGATTTGTTTTTTAAAAAATGAAATGGCTATAATGTTTTGATTTTGAGATGGGATACTGAGGGTGTAATTCCTGCCACCCCTGACTAATTACTTCCTCAGGAAATGCAATGTCTAACAGAAAAATGGTTGCCTACCCTTGCTATGTGCAAAGCTGAAAGCTAGCACAAAATGTATACTTCTCTCCTTAGTCTAGCTGGTCCACTCAGTAAAATTCTTATTTGCTTTTTATTTTATTTTTTTTAAAGGTTACCTGTTTGCAAGACTTTTTTGGTGATGATGATGTTTTCATTGCCTGTGGACCTGAGAAATACCGTTATGCTCAAGATGATTTTGTACTAGATCACAGTGGTAAGTACTGTCTGTACATTTGTTTTGAACCATAAGCTTCCAGTGCTTATGAAAGCACTGAGTGACATTGTGACTGCATATTCCCCCCCCCAATATATATTGCACTGATAAAGACTGTAAATGGGGTGTATCATGAATTAGGGGAGGAGTAGTACCTCTGGTAGAAGACATGCCGTGCTCCTTCTGGAGTAGTTTGTCCACCTTTGGTCCCTACCCTGTACTCAGTTCTCACCTGTGGCTCCTCGAAGCTGCATGTGACAGTGGCCACACCCTGAGAAATGGCGTTAACTGCCTGGCTAAACCAGGTGAAGGTAGCCAATGGGTCTCAAACCCTTGGTGAGTTAGGCACTTGCCCTGCATGTGAAGACAGGCTATGGTGGTTTGAGTGGACAAGATCAATAGTGGGTTGAAGGGTCAAGAAGGTGGTTTCAGCAGATGATGTAGAGGGAAGTGAGAGGAAGATGAGGCTCGTCAACCTGGGAAAGGTAGCCAATCTAGGAGAAGGAAAACACTGATCCTAAACCTCCGATGCCTTGCGGAATATCTTTGGGAGCAGAAAAACCTAAGGAATAAATGCTATACAAATCCGGAGTAGAATCAAGTCCCTAAGGCAGTTTGATTCTGCTTTGTATGCCTCCTTCTGACAACAAATGCAGACAAGCTGGTGGCAAATGTATTGTTCTTCTTTCCTTTGGACCACATCAGCGAGGCTGAGAGTAGGGTCTTGTTGCCTGGGCAGCCCAGGACTTCCATACTGGAAGCATAGATGAAAACCAGGGGTGGGTTTAGAGGAGCATGACTGCTTTTGTTGCACTGGGCACTGAGCCTTGGGGGCACAACAGGGGTCGCTGCAACTATGATTTAGAATGGAACACAAGAAGCAGGAGGGGGCACCTGTTTTTCATGAGAAATTTGAGACCCCAAGTTCCACCACTGTGAAAACCTAAACTCTGTAAAGGGGACCTGTGAGGGAAGGACATACATTCCTGCAAATTGGAGGGTCTTGTGTGGTCCATTTTAAAGAAACCATGCCATCTAGAAAAATATACCACTAGCATTATCCCTGTGCACATCAAGATGGGAAGATGATGGGATGATGCAATAAGACACAAAGGGTTCCTGGAGAGGCAATATGGAGCATCAAGGCATTCTAATCCCTGGGATCCATATGAATCTGAATCATAGAGTTCTGCTGAAGGACCTAAGAAAACAGATTTGCTAGAGAGTGTTGTTTATTAAAATAGCTAACTGCACAGTAGTCTAAGGGACAGTTCAACTTTCAGTTTAAAACTTCTAGTGTACATTGTGTTGCCAATCATCATATAGGAGCAACAAACAGATTGCAGTCTCAGTGGGCACAATAATCACAATAGTTGGATCGGAAAGACACTGGTGTGAACAGGTGGAAGAGGACTTGCTCCAGTCAGTTTTGATGAAATATGCAATATGTTAACATTCTTTTATATTCTTTTATTTGTAAAATAAATGATCTGCTTTTCCAACAGAGATGAGACATATATAAAATTCATATGTACACTCTTCTATTGTAACAGGGTAAACAACCAAATCTAGTTTTAAAGCAACCTGGAAAAAAATTAATTTTCCACATTTGACCAGATGTCAACAAGTTTATAAGCTTATAAATTTATAAACTCCTTTTGGTTCATTTAAGAAAAACTGTTTATGAAATGAGTATGTTTGGGTGATAAATCTAGTTGGTAGGTGGTTTTGTTGGAAGTGATTGCAACTCTAAAAATATTTCTTCTGCTATCCATCTGTTTGTTTACAGAATGTCGTGTTATGAAATCCTCTTATTCCCGTTCATGCGGGATATCAAGGTATTCTGGATCTAAAAGCCCTGGATCTAAAAGCCCTGGACCTTCACGTCGAAGTAAATCACCAGCTTCAGGTACAGCTGCCTGGGTGGATGGGGGAAATGTGCATTTAGAACCTTGTTTGTTTAATTAATATATTTTCTGCTCATCAATCCCCAGCAGCTCACATACACAATATGTCTACCAATAAAATAAATAATTTTAAAACAGCAGAACAATAAAATTAGAGCCAATAGTTGTTTAAATTTCATTTGTTAAACAGCATCTAGAAACCCTTGGCAAATAAATAGGTTGACACCTGACTGAAAAATAACCAAGTCTATAGCAGAAAAGCACCACCAGGGAAAGAATGGCAAAGTACCACCACTAAAAAGGCCCTGTCTGAGATCACCACCTACATCACTACTGGCAGCAGATAAAACCTGCAGAGGGGCTTCTTGAGGAAGACCTTGGCGCCCATGGAAGTTCGTGTAGTAACAAGTGTTTTTTTGACATGTGCTCTTCCTTAATGGCTGTGCCCCACCATGATCCCCTATTTCTCACCTTAATCTCACCCAAAAAGGTGAGGCAAAATTACACACTCCCCAAGCCTGAGGGAGATGCAAGGGTTGCAGAGGATGAATATGAATAAATTCAGTTGTACACATTTAAGTGTTTTCCCTTCGTCCACTCTATTCTTCTTTTGGGGGCCCATGACTTTCTTACTCCTTTTTTCTCTTTGGTATCCTTAGCCAACACAAAATGCATCTTCCTTCTTCCTTTCTCTTTGTGTCCCCCCCCCTTTTTTTTACAGTGCTTGTTAGTGTGGTATAGTGGTTAAGAGTGGTAGACTCGTAACCTGGGGAACCGGGTTCGCATCTCTGCTCCTCCACATGCAGCTGCTGGGTGACCTTGGGCTAGTCACACTTCTTTGAAATCTCTCAGCCCCACTCACTTCACAGAGTGTTTGTTGTGGGGGAGGAAGGGAAAGGAGAATGTTAGCCGCTTTGAGACTCCTTCGGGTAGTGATAAAGTGGGATATCAAATCCAAACTCCTCCTCCTCCTCCTCCTCTTCTTCTATTAGGTTTTTTTTGCCCCAGTTATGTTTTTGATTACGTCTTTCAGTCCTGCTCCAGTGTCAGTATTTTAAAAATATCAATGTTTTAGGGAAAGTGGTTCACTGACAACCGGAGAACAACAGATTGTTGATGTGCTGAATCAAAAAGCTACTCAGTACAGTGGCCCAACAGTACCATCCAGAAGTTTGGACTTAAGTGTACATAAGGAAGAAGACAGAATAAGTCTACTGGCTGTTGTTGTCATTAAAGACCTGAACATAGAGCAAAAGACTTGCTGGTTTTCTTACTGCAGAGTCATATGAGATTCTCTCCCAGGCAAAATATTAAAAGTCCCCCACCCAAGCATATTACCTTGCCCTCTAGGCTTTTTCAGCTTTGGGATGGCATATTTCATTTGTGTGGCGTAACCGTTCATAAAGAGAAATTAGACTTTGGAACATAATAGGCGACTGGAAATGAGAGACACATAATTAACCACCTGAGGTGAAAGTTGGCAGGTTAGCTGAGGGCAGCTACCAGGTGACTTTATCACAAACAGGTTATTGAAGTAGCATCCACACACCATAGGCTCAGGCCCAAGGTTTGGGGAGATGCGAAAGGTTTGAGCATTCATGATGCATTTGTAAAGTTAGTATTTGATCCGTAGGCACAACAGACCTAATTGTTTTAGGTGGTTTTATCCCATCTCCAATATGGCACCCCTAACTTTCCCACAACTCGAACAATTTCCATATAACTCAGTTTATCTGGATCTCCAGTTCTATTAGTTCTTAAATTACTTTAAATTGGACTGTGCATAGTAGTAAATATAGGTTCACTGTAAGCCTTTCTGGGAAACCACTTCTTGCTTTCCCCCTTTTTATGTTATCTTTCTTCCTTTCATGTCTCTGAATAACCTATATCCTGTCTTTTTCCTTTGTGTCAATTGAATGAATACAGTAAAGAGGGGTGGCTATTACTCCAGTGCTTACTCTTCAGCAAAATCCCCAGGTGAGCCATGGCAGTTATGGCTGTGTACCAACACTTGTCTCCTACCTTGTCATTTTTAACCCTTCCATCTGCTTCTATGTGCCTATTATTTTGCACTGTGTGTTTTTATGATTTGTAAAACAAAGACATGGTGAGCTTATCCTGTCTCTAGGTAGACCTTGGAAAGGAAGAACTTAGGCATCAGACACCTGTGGTTAGTATACAATGGAGCTAAATTTGTTAAGATATAATCCAGCCAGTGCACAAGTAGTACGGGGGGGGGGGGGCGCGGCAGTATATTTAAAATTCTGTATGAAATGAGCAATATTAGCTAACAGCAATGGTTCCCAAAACTTAAATTCAAGTTTAAGTGTGGTATGGCATGCAAATAAAGCTCAAAGTTGAAACAGAGTACTGTGTCTTTTAAAACACTATGCCCACTTATTTAGAGAAGCATGTGAGTATTAAGACACTAATTAACTTGTGGACTGATCCATGTAAACTAGTTGCTTGGTCCATGGTGGCATCAAAGTTTGATATTACCTGACTTAACACTGGGAATTTATCTAGTTTGCAATAGAAAAATGTGATTGAAATAAGCTGCCTTGCTTCTGCTCACAGTGAAAAAGCAAATCATTTTGTCTCCTTGTGTGTTTTTTATTGTGTGTGGAGTTTGCTTGCTTGCCTTTATCCCATGTGCTCTTCTGGAAGGTAGGTTGCATATTGTGCTAGTCCACCATTTCCTCCCACTTGAACATAGCTACTGGGAGGTTGCTTTCTGTGGGGTGGAGTATCTCTGTGTGGACCCTAACTAAGGAGTCCCAGAACCAAGCAGCGTCTGTATGATGTCCCTAATTTCTGGGTGATAAGGACAGTGACAGGATTTCAAGGTCCCTCTTGCAGCCCCAAGGGGGAGGAAATTCTCTTTCCGTGTTGTAATGTTTTGTTTGTGGGCCAGGTGGGAAGCTGTGCTGCTTGGGACTCTGAGGCTGGCTCAGGTAATGTACACTAATACCTTTAAAGCACATTCAAAGCCCGTTTTCCCTCTCAAATAACTTTGGGCACTGTCATTATGGGTTACTGGGAATGGTAACTCTGTGAGGGAGCAAACGACAGTGCCCAGAATTTTTGTGGAAAATAATGGGCGTGGAACATGCTCAAAAGGCATAGTGTGTCCACAATCATAGTTTCAGGCTAAAGGGACAACGGAAGGATTAGTGTTAGGGAGTGTAATAATACAAAAGTGGGATAAGGCATATGCATGAACATATGAAGGTCAGAAACATGTGTTTTCTATAGGTAACTATTTTTAAAACACAGATTCTGGGGATGAAGTGAAAACAGCGATAGAATAAGATCGTCCTATTCCCATAAATGTTAACTTCTTCTAGAACAGGCACATCCAACTCCCAAGAGAATGCAATCTACTCCCAGTACAAAAAAGCTGGCAGGATCTACCCATTGTCCTTGCCAATGTTAAGCTTTTTGGGGGGGAGGAGCCAAAGTTGTGGAGCTTTTTTGCTAGAAAAATGATGTGCTTACAATTTCGCGCAGCGATGAAGCAAACAGCTAGCGCCAGGGACGGGTGGCAGGGTCACTAGTAGCCCGTGATCGACCACTAATGTGAGGCGATCGACTTGTTGGACATGCTTTTCTAGAACATCTTGGAAGCTGGTTCTTACATCTTGGTGGAAAGATGATAACTTCTACTTATTTATTTACTGTATCTATACATAATGCCACAGAATAACAGTTCCCTGTGCAGTCGCATCAGCAGGTTGGCTCCTAAATATTAAAGAATTAAAAGTAAATTCCTTTTTAAAAGCAGCTAGTTTGGAAGGCTTGGTTTTCAGATAGGTTCATCACTGCAGGCATTCACACAGCAAAAACAATGGTGCCTGTTAAATGAATGTTCTGTTACCCATTATAGATATTCTTTACACAGCTGAAAAAGTGTAGGTGGTAACTAGCATTTCCATGGAAACCGAATGTCTAGCTGGCAGGCTAATTTTTTTTTCTTAAAGGAGCAGCAGTCCTTAACTGAGCTGCAGTTGAAATCAATCTTGCTCTTTGGAACATTTCCTCTTACTACTTCTTCCTTGGGAGACATGGAATATATTGTTCATCAGAGAGCCCTGCAAATAAGCTAATAGATGGTGCATATTAAGAGTCTTAAGTTGTGTGAAATGGTGGAGCCCACTTCAGACTGAACTGAAGGGGAAGCAACACATATTCACATATATAGAAACCCCTCAAAATTAAAATATGAAATGTAATCGTATATTTAAAAGCATACTAATGGGAAGCTGGTTCTTGTCAAAGGCCTATTTCAACATGGAAGGAGATGCAAATAATTTTTTCAAGTATTTTATTTTTAAGAGAAATGATCACATAGAAAATAAGCGTGGGTTTGTTTTTTTTGGTTTTATAATTGTTCTTGGTAATTTGGATACAGCGTACTCTGTAATATATTAAACTGCTCTGTGGCCGTGATTATTTTTCAAATACCCATTGGCTGATGTGACCTGATAACCTTGAAATGTTCACCATCACCAACATTTTTAATTCGTGGAAGAATGTACCCAGCACCATAGAATGTTGATATATTGCCATTGTTGAGTCAAGTGAAAAGTCCTTTGGGCTGTGGTTGAAACATCACAATAGGCTGTAGGGACAGGGCAAGCTATGTAGACAAGATCGAGAGTCTGAAAGCTTTGATAGAAGAGGTTCTGAGATGTAGAAAAGCTAAAGGATAGTGTGGCTAGATGAAGGGGAATGAGTAGGCAGTGTGCCAGAAAAAAATGTGTCTTTGAGTAGGTAGAGAGAGGGGGGGGCGGAACCAATGATAGAACACAGCTGTGGAAAGAAATCTTAGATCTTAAGAAGGAAGGCTCAGCTGTGTGCTTGTTGGTCTTAGCAAGCCCTTGGTCACTGCATTGTGCTGCTCTTAAGATAATGCCTAGCTTTATGTATATTTTATTGCTAGCGGCTCTGTTTAACAAAGATTAACAGGATATTATCTAAAAGGAACATATCATATCTTAACAGGAATTTCAGCTTTTGTTTTATTGGCGATAACAACTCCTTTTCCTTCTTTTGCCCTTGTTATTCCCAATAGTAAACGGAGCTCCAAGTAGCCAGCTTTCAACTCCCAAATCAACAAAATCTTCTAGTTCCTCACCAACAAGCCCAGGCAGCTTTCGGGGACTCAAGGTATGTTTTAGAAAGTTTGCCCTATTTCAGCTTAAATACTAATTCTGCTTTGGAATATTGCCTTTGTGGTTGTAAGAAAACACCAGCTACATGCTATATTAATTAATGATTTAAAAATATATATATTCCATTGCAATGTACAATGCATGAAAGCAGTTGTAGAGTAGTTAAAATGTAGGCTGAACCCAATATTGCAATGCGTAAAATAATCTATTATTCTGGTTTAAACTCTATCCACTGGCTTAGAGAGCTGCCCTAAATTGGGCCAAAAAGCAACAGGGGGCAGCAAAGGATCCACCAGCCAGGGTGGAAAGTATGTGGGGGGGGGACTCCCCCACCAGCTCCAGGCTACCATTGCTAAGAAGCCTGTCCCTCAAGGATCCATGGGATGTAGTATCCAGCAAATCCAAAGCCTCTGGCACCCTGAAACTCCCCGTTTCAGGGCTTGCTGCTGCCTACTACCACTAGCAGAATTGAAAATGGAAGTCTACTGCCCATGGAGGTGAAGCTGAGCCATCTGCCATGGTAGAGAAATCTGTCCCATAACACAGCTCCTTTCCATTACCAATCCGTCAGGGCCCAGTGGTTAGGGCTGCACTCATAGTTGTGTTTAGTAAAGTTTGTCAGTACAGTCAGTAAGCTCCATCTCATCCTTCATTGTCGATTTTGTTTATTTATACACGTTTTTGCAAGTGTGTACTTGACAGCTTGCAGCATTTAAAAACAAGAACAGTGTAGCACCATAATCGACTAAACCTTAATAAAAAAGGCCATGCAGCAAACCAAACACAGTAAAAACAAAAACCATAGAAAGAGGAATGCCATTTTGCATGCTAAAGTTGTTTATATTTAGTGCATGTTTTAAAAGACAGTTGGTTATCAAGAGAATTAGGGTAGTTAAAATCCTTTATTTTATCTCTCCAGTATGCAGCTGTTTGGGTGTACACTTCAGCTGTGCTTTGTTCACTTGGGTTCTGAGTAATCTTAACTGATATATCTGAATTAGAACATGGCTTGTGACAATGCTTGTGTCTGCATCTGGAATGCATTCCCAACACCCATGCTTCTGGGAAAATGTCCAACAGGAATATATGGCGTTCAAATAATTAACCCCTAAAATACAACCATTACAAGTATACATACCCCTGAACAGTCAGATACTCTTGATAAAATTTTATTACGTATCTGCTTGAATTTTGTTCTGTTCACGTGTTGTGCATGAGGAGTAAAATTAAACTTTTGTTTTTAAGTGACTTATTTACTTTATCCTTTTCCTTAAGAGATCCCTATAATAACTGAGCTGTGCTTAGGATGAAATAATGTGTAGGCTGGTCTCCTTGAAATACTTGGTTTCTGTGCACTGCCTGGATCATTCTGCCATGTCTCTTCATTTACTGATGCTGCAGCTCAAGCATAGCAGAAGATGCATGTCTCCATCTTTAATTTACAGTGGTACCTCGCAAGACGAATGCCTCGCAAGACGAAAGGGTTTTTGGTTTTTTTAGTTGCTTCGCAAGACGATTTCCCCTATGGGCTTGCTTCGCAAGACGGAAACGTCTTGCAAGTTTGTTTCCTTTTTCTTAACACCGTTAATACAGTTGCGACTTGACTTTGAGGAGCAACTCATAGAATGCGGTGTGGTAGCCTTTTTTGAGGTTTTTAAAGACTTTGGTGATTTTTGAAGCTTTTCCAAAACTTTCCCGACACCGTGCTTCGCAAGACGAAAAAATCGCAAGACGACAAAACTCGCGGAACGAATTAATTTCGTCTTGCGAGGCACCACTGTATGTCTTTCTCTCTGTTGTAACTTAGTACTCATCTTAGCAAAATTGGTAAGGAACGATCAGCTGAAAACCTTGCCTTGTCATCTCTATTCGGATTTATATGCTAATACTTCATTTGAATTGCAATAAAGCTGTGGGGTTTTTTTTGTGTGTGAGCTGTAGATTCTTAAACATGTTGATTTTGTGTCTACCTCCTTTTGCCTGCTACATGGCTTGGATTGCTAGAAGACCCTCGATTCATGTTATGCTGCTTAAAAGGACTGGCTATCTGCATCACATTCATGTAGTTTATTTATTCATTTAAGTAATAGATTTGTTGTTCCAGAACACTACTGCTTACCAGAAAAACACCACATCTCCGCAACACATGTCCTTAACCCCCACCCCACCTCCTTAACTGGAAAGCCTACTGACAAGGATAGGAAATCAAGGGCTATAATTTGTGCAGCTTCGTTTTTGCTACTCAGCACAAATGCTGAATTGCTGATCCATTGAGAAACTTGGCAGCCACACCAATATAATTGCATCCAGAAGAATACAGGACAATGTTCTTTTGACTGGTCTGAAAGTGAAAGAAAGACAATTAGAGATTGTATTACTCTTGTTAGTTTTAAATAGATCTTGATTTACGTATGTCGGCAGCAAACAACAAAAAATGCATCCAACAATTCTCGAATATGATAATTCTCTAGTGCTAACCTCCTTTGAAAGATTTCATTAAGCCCAATAGACTCTTTGAGACGAAAGAGAAGAATTTATATCATATTAAGAATACTTGGCCTTCCTCACGGTTGGCCGAAGAGGCTAATTGAGAGCTGCTTTGGGTACCCTTGCTGTCAGCTCCAGTAACCATGGAGTTGTGAAAGGAAGAAGTAGCACAAATATGTTAGGCTGTGCTGGGAGTGCAGACTGCGGAGTTCTTGACCAAGCTAGGGGCAGGGGCAAAAGAGCAATTGACTTAAGCCAGCTGATTGGCTGAGCCCTGCTCTTCCTCACCAGCTTCTTGAGAGGAGAAACTGTGTACAACCCTGTTCCTGCTGGCCAGCATTCAGGACAGTCTCCTTGCAACTCTGTCTTGAGTTGACTTGTAGCTGGGGCTGTCCTCTATCTATGCAGGTATCTCTAGGTGCTTGTCATTAATTCAACCTGCAAGTCATGACCAACACCAATCAGCCAAACTGCAGCATAAAACAGTGTCAGGGAACTGCCATCGGAAGGACGGGAGGTGGAAAGGCTCACTGAGGTTGAGAGAGACGTAGCAGCTGAAGAGGGAACCAGCAGGGGGAGAGAAGGGACTCCAAGGGAAAGTGAGTCGGAGGGATGGCTCAGAGACACTTCCAGCGAAAACAGTGGGGAGGTCTCAAGACCTCCTATAGGGACACCCACTCCTCGCCGGAAACTGTCACGCCGAGAGTCCAGAAGACGTGTTTCCGTTAAGGAGCTTTTATGTTGGAAGAGATTCCGAAAGCGACCACTTTCGGATTCTGCTAGCGACTGACGCAGCCATGCCGGAGGGGCTCCGTCGCAGGCAGAGGTTTGAGAACTCGACCAAACTCTGAGGGACTTGCATTTTACGCACAAGCAGCTCATTATCCCATCACAAACAGACTGCATGGAGTTGGCAAAAAAGAGGGGGCCACAAGGCCAATCAGAGAATACTGCCAAAATAATTCTACTCAGCCCTCCAAATCATAAGGCATGTAGGATGCCATGCTGAAAAGGACTGCTCATGAGGAGGGGGCAGCAGTGCCTTTTTAGTGGCACCGCTTCCTTGCTGCATTGTGTCCCAAGTGCCAAGATGCTGCCATATTCCCCCCACCACGTGATCTTTACTCTAGAATCACATGGGACTGCAAATATACTCCCTGCTTGATATGGTGGAGCAGCTTTCGTATAGTGCCAAACCATAGGTAAAGGTAAAGGGACCCCTGACCATTAGGTCCAGTCGTGACCGACTCTGGGGTTGCAGCGCTCATCTTGCTTTATTGGCCAAGGGAGCCAGCGTTTGCAGACAGCTTCCGGGTCATGTGGCCAGCATGACTAAGCTGCTTCTGGCGAACCAGAGCAGCACACGGAAACGCCATTTACCTTCCCGCTGGAGCGGTACCTATTTATCTACTTGCACTTTGTGCTTTCGAACTGCTAGGTTGGCAGGAGCTGGGACCGAGCAATGGGAGCTCACCCCGTCGCAGGGATTCGAACTGCCGACCTTCTGATCGGCAAGTCCTAGGCTCTGTGGTTTAACCCACAGCGCCACCTGCGTCCCCTGTGCCAAACCATAGCTCAGCGTTAAATGCAAATGTTGTCAATTAGGCAATTCTAGTCGATTCTAGTGACTTGGAAAGGAGATAACAACATAGTACGTTATCTAAAATTTACCATTGTTATTCTGTGTCCTGTGACAATTGACTGAAATTGAAAAGTCTAAAATAGTTTAGCTTTTAATCCTAACCCCACATAAACCTGGTCATAAACCTCATTGAATTCAGTAGAATTTAGTGCTATGTAGACATGGTTTAGACTGTGCTGTTAGCTGTTTGTTATCTGAAAGATCATTTTCATCCACCCTAGTTTTAAATTTCATAGCCATGATACTAATTTTCATGAAGTGTTCTTTGCTTTTAAGGAAACGAAATCTGTGCTTTTAAACAAAACAACTGAACTGAGCAGAAAATAACTAATAAGACAATGCAAGAAATAGTAATCTATTTTGTCTGCCTTGTTTCTGGTTCTATTACAAAAATATCTTCTGAAAGAACTATGTTGTATTATTTTGGTGCAGGAGCCATCCAGGGCATCATCATCAACAAAAAATGTACAGATGTTGTTGCAGCCATCTTGCATATTTGTCTGGCAGACAGTGTTATTTTTGTCTTTCTCAAACTTAACTCGCTGTCAGTGATCTAGTTTGTGTTGCCTTTTGCTGTCTTGATAATGTAGCTTCTGTTGACTGCTTTGGGCACATATTGGTGTCCTGGGAAATCTTACAATAAAACCTGATCTGCCAGTTGAATTATTGTCATTATTGCTGGTGAAATGATTTAAAATATTTTGCTGCATAACCAGGCACTGAAAATGCTGACCTTGCATTCCCTTGTGCTGTCCAATATCATTTTGACAGATCTTGAGCTCAGGCTAGAGAAGCATTTTAAGCACCCTGTGACAAGTGATGAAAGTTTGTGTGATAATCTTTTAAATGAGAGTACAGTGAAGACTGAAAAGGGCAAAGACATTATCTGAAAGTGAAACAAGAAAACCAGGAGGGAGACAAAGAAATTGGAGAGAATTTAAAGAGGGGAAACTTGCTTTCGGAAGTGCTAGCTAAAAGAATTTCAGAACGCATACTCTTCAAGGAGCAATCTTGAGACTTCCAAATTCTGCAAAAGCAGCCCATGTAAATATCATTTACCTGTCTGGCCTTCCTTGTGGTGCCAGATAGGTAGAAATGTTTCTGTAAGCTGCTTCAGCTATGCTACCTAATTTGAAACTTTCAGATTGTTCCTGAAAAATTGACCTGTGTTGCAAAACACACGCAGCTGTAATAAAGCCTTAGTTGGCACTTTGGGGAACTATTAATTGAAAGTGGAAATTATGCTTGAAAATTATCTATTTCTTAATTAAATTTGTATTCCTCCCTTCACCCAAATATCACAGGGTGGTTCAAAACATGAAAATACAAAATGAAAACACAAAATGCATAATAAATGGTGCCTAGAGATATGTAATGAAGGTACCAGGCAAGCCTCCTTGGGGAGAGGATTCCACAAATGGGGAGCCACTGCAGAAAAGGCCCATTCACTTGTTGCCATCTTCTGGAACTCTCCTGGGGGAGCCACCTGAAGAAGGGTCTGGCTCGGTTTATATGGGGACAGGCGGCCCTTGAGGTATCGGGGTTAAGGGTTGTTTAAGGCTTTATAGGTCAAAAACAGCACTTTGAATTGAATTAGCAGCCCGTTCAGTTAAGCCAGAATCGGTGTAATATGCTCATGTCGTCTGAGCTTGGGCTCGTGGTTTGTTTCCCCAAAACAAAGCAAGCTTTGTTCTTGATTCACAGTATTTTGTCTGCCTATGGTTGCAAACTGGGTCAGTGACTGAGATCCATGAATATGTTCCCTGAACTGTCTAAAGATGGTTTGTTCTTGATTCCAGCTCTTCTTTTGTATTCTCTGGATAGGCAGGTGACATTCTGGTTAGAAATTAAAAGGAAGACAATCTCTTGGGAAGCATTCAGTTCCCTCATGTGCATCCCTTTACACTCTGTTGTTGCTAAATGGATCATAAGAAGTAATCAATTAGAAGTGAGAAGGAATCAACTACTTTCAGGTGCTTTTAGAGAGAACACATATCTAGTTACAGTGTATTAGAGACTTGGCACAAAGCAAATACTGTTGGTGTTGTATAGTGCAGGGAAAGTGGAGTTTGTGTAGTCTGGTTTGAATGCAACATGTCATCAAAAAAACCCAACCAGCTACTTTACAGAGGCTGTATGTTTTGGCCGTTGGAAATATTAGTAAAATTGTGTTTGGCTTTTAACAGATGATTGTGTAATATTAATTTATAGCACAGAAGGCTGTTGGATGTTTTTGTTCCTAATGTGATTATTCAGAAGCATATTGAACTGCTGAAGTATAAACTCTCACATTTTTTCTCAGATTCCACCACATTGTGGGTCAACTTGCAATGTGAATGGTGTGCCTGAACTATCTCCTTGCCTGAGTCCTGAAAGTAAGAATGTGTATTTTCAAGTTCTTTTCTGTTAAATGTCTGTATTGGAGATAATATTTCAGTCTAGAAAAATAAATCACGGTTTATTATTGTCTATTTTGGTAATATGCTTGTTCACACTACTGTATTGGTATTACTTTGCACTTTTCTATTAGGCCAAAGATGATTCATAGAGTTGAGGCTATTCATTCATTCATTTGACTCATAAGAACTTTTTGCTCTAAGGTGTCTTGACATTGACCACCCCTTTGCATGCCAGTAGCATTCAAAAGAAATATAGCAGACTTTGAGATAGGATTGGGTTTGTATTTAATATATGTCACCAGGTACTGAATGGTTTACTGATAGTGCTGGGCCAAAATCTGCCTTCTCTTGCTCAGAAGTTTTCTACCCCTCTGAAATGGGCCTCCATTTTTCTGCAGCATTCTCAGGCCACTTAAGAATTTATGTAGAATGTTGGTGGTTACAGAATTTTGAGCTTACCTTAGGATTGTGAGGCATCCAAGGCATGCCTTTTCTTTCCAGTAAACATTGCTCTAGCACTCTGCAACCTCCCCCTGTCTACACTTCCTGATCTTAAAAAACCCAAAATATTGAAATAGTTACTTCATAATGTCTTCCCCTAGTCTTCAGTTGAAACATGGGCACCTAGGAAGTCTGCAGAAGCCAGACAACTGATGAGATGACAGACCCTCCAAGTGTCCCTATTTTCCAGGGACGTCCTTGATTTAGAAAAGCTGCCTTAGTTTCTGATTTGATCCCAGAATGTCCTGCTTTTCCTTAGGCTGTCCCTATTTTCATTGGAGAAATGTTGGAGGGTATGGAGTTATTCGACTCCCGAGCTGTCTGAAATCCTGTATAGGGAAGCTTTCTTAATGTTTAATGTTTTGTTATGCTTTTATATATGTTGGAAGCTGCCCAGAATGGCTGGAGCAACCCAATAGGATGTGTGGGGTATAAATATCATTATCATTATGGAATGGGATGTCCCTATTTTCATCAGATAAATGTTGGATGGCATGACATGATTTGCAGCATAAATAAAAGAAAGGACACCCACAAGACTTCTTGGCCACGATAAATGTTGGATGGCATGACATGATTTGTAGAATAAATAAAAGAAAGGACACCCATAAGATGTCTTGGCCACCACAAAAGATAAGCATGACCAAATACCCTGAACCTCATCCATGAGAATTTCACTTAATATGTTTTATTTCCATGTGAATTTTGTTTTTCTGAATTGAAACCATTTTCTCATTAATTGTGAGAGAGATATTTTTAACACCACTAATTATTAACGATACAGGGGAGAACTGTTCCAAATTGCTCTGGCAGAAGAGTTGCATCACACAGGGCAATTTATCAGTTAAAGATTAAATGGAGATGTGCTGGCCATTTTGAAAGGGAAAATTTAAGTTATCTTAACCTCCTCACCAAACATCTCGTGGTATTCTGAGTTTTCATTTTAATGTTCATATTGTACTTGATTTGCAATGGATAGACAAAATGTTAGCCTTCATTTACATAAAAACCAATTTAGAATATTTCACTTTCGGTAAGCACACCTTGAGAATAAAGGTACATATTTGTAAAATTTAGGCACCATTTACAGGTATTTTTTTCCCCAAATTCTTTTTATTAGTTTTCATGTGAATAACCAAAAAGAAAAACAAATCCACAGTTACAAAGAAGGAAGAAAAAAGGAAAAAGTTGAATAACTAATATCTTAACAAACTTAAAAATATTATCCGTTTCCATTACAGTTCCATGTCTTCACACTTGTCTCTATATAGCTTTAAGAATTTACATCATTCTTCTACGCCCTATTGACTTCCATCCCTCCCGCTTTCAGGCTTCTTTATATACATAATTTGTCTTTCTGCAGCTAGTAATTGTTAATGATTTGCACATCGTAAGATTTATATCGAACCTGCTATAGTTTTTAAGTTTCTGTAATTCCCTTCAATGTATATCATAAATTTGTTCCAATCATTAATAAACTTTGTATTTTTTTGGTTTCTAATTTTTTGCGTCATTTTTGCGAGTTCAATGAATTCAAATAATTTTGTTTGCCAGTCTCTAATTGATGGGATATTCTGATTTTTCCAATTTTGGGCAATTAGTAATCTGGCAGCAGTTGTAGCATACTGAAATAGTGTCTTATCTTCTTTTTTGATTTCGTCCCCAATTATTCCTAGTAGGAATGCTTCTGGTCTTTTGGAAAATGTATACTTAAATATTTTTTTTAACTCATTGTAAATATGTTCCCAATATTTCTTCATTTCGTCGCATGTCCACCACATGTGGAAAAAATTACCCTCTTTAATTTTACACTTCCAGCAGCTCTTATTTGTTTTATACATTTTCCCTAGTTTTGCTGGTGTAATGTACCACCTATACATCATCTTTTCTAAATTTTCCCTGAGTGTTACACATGCCGTAAATTTCATTCCACTAGTCCATAATTTCGACCACTTGTCATACTCTATATTGTATCCCAGATCCATTGCCCATCTTGTCATTACCTCCTTTATTTCTTCATCTTTGGTATCCCACTCTAATAATATATTGTACATTTTAGATAGTAATTTAGATTTGCCTTCGATTATCTCTATTTGAAACTTGGATTTCTTTTCATTCATCCCTACTTTTCTATCTTCTATCCATACTGCATTTATTTGATGGAATTGTAGCCAGCCAATTAGTTTATCTTTCAACTCCTCATAAGTTCTCAACTTCCATCCACTTTCTGATCTTATCAGCAGGTCTTCATAGGTTAGCCTTTCTCCCTCCGTATTTACTTTTTTAGTTATTAGAATGTCAGTTGGTGATAACCACCAGGGTGGTTTCCATTCTAGGAGTTTTTTATTCCTCTCCCACACTTCGTATAGGGGCCCTCTTATAATGTGATTTGAAAATCCTTTATGTACCTTTTCTTTATTTTGCCATAAATAGGCATGCCAGCCGAACCTATTGTCGAACCCCTCTAGGTCCAACAAATCGGTATTTTCTAAAGTAATCCAATCTTTAATCCAGCAAAGACTAGCAGCCTCAAAATATAGCTTCAAATTAGGTACCGAGAATCCCCCTCTTTCTTTCAAATCTGTAAGGAGTTTGAATCTGATAGTATATATGGGATTATATGGCGTATTTGGTTGGCAGTGTAATATGCTTCTATGTTGGGGATTCCCCATCCTCCTTCTGAGGTGGGGAGGTGCAGGTATTTTACCCTGCCATATGAATTTCGAAAGGGTTCTTTGCCAATCTGTAAATATTTTGGGTCCTCTAATCACTGGGATGTTTTGAAACAGGAATAACATTCTTGGAAGTACGTTCATTTTTATCGCCGCCATTCTTCCCCTCCACGAGAGCTTTACTCTATTCCATGTATCTAGGTCTTTCTTGATCTCCTTCCATGTTGTAAGATAGTTATCCTGAATTAGATTTATGTTTTTTGTAGTTAAACTAATTCCCAGATATTTTGTTTTTTTTACCACCTTAATTCCGTACTGCATTTCCAGTTTTCCAGTTTCCTCTTTTCTCATATTCTTGGTTAACATTTTTGTCTTTAATTTATTTAATTTGAAACCAGATAGCTTGCCGAATTCTTCTAACATCTCCAAAACCTTGCCAACACTTTTTTGCGGATTTTCCAAGGATAACATTAAGTCATCCGCATACACTTTTAGTTTAAATTCTTTTGTTCCTATTTTGATCCCTCGGATCTCTGGTGTTACTCTTATTTTATTTGTAATTATCTCTAATGCCATAATGAATAAAAGCGGGGATAGAGGGCATCCCTGTCTTGCTCCTTTTTCAATTTTAAAGGAATTTGTTAGGTTGTTATTTATAATCAATTTTGCAAATTGATTCGAATATATTGCTTTTATTCCATCCATAAACTCACCCTTTAGCCCTGCTTTCTCCATACTCTTCATTAGGAACTTCCAAGAAACGTTATCGAATGCCTTTTCGGCATCGATGAAAATCAGCACCGCGGGTATTTCGTTCTTACATTCCAGATATTCAATAATGTTTATGGTGTGCCTTACATTATCTTTAAGGAACCTATTTGGAAGAAATCCTGCCTGGTCCTTATGTATTATGTTTACTAGACATTTTTTGAGTCTGCTTGCCATCACTTCCGCAAAGATTTTATAGTCATTATTTAACAGTGATATAGGTCTATAATTTAGGCAGCATTTACAGGTATTATGTGTTAAAGCTAAATTGTATCCTAGATTGAGAATGTGGAGAATGATAGATACACATCCTATCTCTGCTGAGTAATTTGCCTGTGACAGAAATAGTCATGAACGAATTCTCACCTAGATTAGGGTGATGCAGGTGACTGGAAGTAATAATGCAATATTTCATGTATATTATAAAATTATTTTATTGTTCAGTCTCACCAGAACCCTGTGATACTTGTGCCACTTAATAGCTCTGCAACAGAAGCTGAAACAATGCAGTTTGTTGAACAACAGAACTAAATGAAATGGTAGCTGGGTGTCGATCCTTACGTGGAAATGATGTTGCCTTTTGGAATATGTTAAAAAAAAAAATCTTACATGAAAAATATGTTCGGATGCTTACCCTCTGATTTGCACAGCAAGGTCATCTAGCTTGGATTAAGCCTTGCCAGCTATTTCTTTTTGCTTTAGATGCAAATGTGAAGCGACAGATACTTAAAATAACTGTTTTAAATAACAATTTTGCAGCTTAAGATATAGCCCTACTGTAGGGTTGAGGTCAGTAAGGGACAAATTGCTCACATCCATGTTTAGCTTACTTTTTGCCCTTTACATCTTGCAGGTTTGAATGGAAACAAATGCTCAGGGGCATCAACTATTCTTGAGAAATACAAAGTGGGAAAGGTGATTGGAGATGGCAATTTTGCTGTGGTAAAGGAGTGCATAGAACGGTGAGCAAGAAAATTGTCAAGCTATTCATTTTTTACTTAGCTGCAGCTTTCCCCTCCACTGTGCATTGAGCATATATTAGAAAATTGTTGTATTTCACAGCCAGCCAGGTGTCTTTTGGTAAATCATTTGTTGTAAAATGCATGAGTTCATGTAGGTATCTGTTCCATATGTTTGACACCTCTGCCTGATGTCCACTTCATCAGCTATTACACTGGGTGAAAAGGATAACTAATAACTATAAGTAAGCAAACCTATAGAAGCGTTGGATATCAAATTAAACAAACATGAAGGTCTTGGGAAATACCTATTTTTAAAATTGCTCCTCAAGTTTTTGTCAAGCATAAGAAAAAGCCGAGCCAATGAAAAAGGAAATGCATTCATTATCCATGCATTCATCTAAATGTAGACCAGAGGCGGCTGATCAAGGTTTTTTTTTAATTATTATTATTTTTATTGTTAAAATAATACACATATATTACAAATATACAAACATACAAACATATATTTCATACAGTCCTTAAAAGTGTTCAAACATACTTACACATTCCCACAGATAATTCCTTTTCCCATCACCATCCACCACCCCTCACCCCACCTTTGTGTTAGACTTCTACTCAGTTGCAATTTCTACTCAGCTGCAATTTCTTCCCACTTCTATTACTTTCTTTCACACACCTTTAACCTAATTTCATACTTCTTTTTCTATTATACATTGTTATCAATCTTATTTAGTATTTCAGTATTTGAAACAGAACTTGTTTATTCTAATAGGAGTTCTGATTTTTCAATATGCTTTTGCAAGTATCTTTTAAACACCTTCCAATCCCTATCTTCTCTTTTGAGATCTTTCCAATTTCTCCCATTGTTTTGGATATATTGTAGTACTCCAATAATTTGGATCAAGTTTTTCTTTGATGCCCATTTCCATTATTCCTGAGGCTAGGGCTGATGGGAATTGGAGGCCAGCAACATTGAGAAGGGACGCGGGTGGCGCTGTGGGTAAAACCTCAGTGCCTAGGACTTGCCGATCGTCAGGTCGGCAGTTCGAAGCCCCGTGGTGGGGTGCGCTCCCGCTGCTCGGTCCCAGCGCCTGCCAACCTAGCAGTTCGAAAGCACCCCCGGGTGCAAGTAGATAAATAGGGACCGCTTACTAGCGGGAAGGTAAACGGCGTTTCCGTGTGCTGCGCTGGCTCGCCAGATGCAGCTTGTCATGCTGGCCACGTGACCCGGAAGTGTCTGCAGACAGCGCTGGCTCCCGGCCTATAGAGTGAGATGAGCGCACAACCCTAGAGTCTGTCAAGACTGACCCGTACGGGCAGGGGTACCTTTACCTTTACCTTTTTAACATTGAGAAGGCCACAAGTTAGCCACTCCTGCTCTAGATCACATTTCCATACGCACATTCTAGTGGAAATCTATATGGAAATATAGATGCTAACTTTAAATAGTTCACTGAACAAAAGTGCAGCATCCAGCCCTCCCCTCTGCAGCCACATGTACGTAACTCTCAAAACCTCTCTTTTGAGAATCAGAGAGGCCCTTGAACAAGATGGAGGGAGGAGATTTGGGAACATGGTGGTGAGGCGATGGGAGACTTCCCTTCCATGAAGTTCCTTAAGTAAGCAATCTTAGGAGACCAAGCCAAAGGAGACAGGCGTCTGAAAAGGGAGATTTAGCAAAGCGGGCATGTGAAGGAGGAATGGATCTAGCAGATGGTTTAGGGATGGAAATATGGAGGAAGATGAGGCAGGGCCAGCTGTGATGGGAGTAGGAAAAGAGGAAGCAAGGGAAGTTTAAAAGTTCAAATGGGGGAAGCAGAGGCCAAGGAAATAAGCCCACGTAATCTGGAAATAAGGAAAATAAATTTAGACCAGCAATTCAGTCAGTCCTTATGGCCCTGCACACATTTTAATGTAAATGTATTAAGTACTTATTTATGTATTTATTGGAAATTCTCAGGAGGCTATTTTGAGTTCACCCTTAAATATTTTTCATAGTTCCTTTCCCCTGTCAAAAAAACCCAAAACAAAACAAAACACCAGCATTCCAAGCTAATATAGTCAAATCCCTTACGACTTCTTCACTTACAAAAATATTAAGCAACTTTTTCTCAAAATCCTTCATTCAATACAGTGTGCTTATGTAAATCTTGCTATGTTTCCCAAGCCAGCTTTAAAAAGCAAATGCCCCTGGAGCTTTTACGATATTTCTCTTGCTTTCTGCAGATCCAAAAACCCTTCAGGCAGGACGATAAATCTAAGCAGTATACAGCCTGAAAAACTTACATACTAATGGAAACGGAAACTTTCCCTGCCAGAAATCGGGAAAGTAATTGGGTGATAATTACAAACAGTGAAAAGACAGAATACTAAGTTTTTATCAGGTCTAGACCCTATCAAGGCAGAAGGCTTGGACATGGAACCTAGAGACTTCCAAGGAGGAGGGTTTCTGTTTTTGTTGGGTACCATATAATGCACAGGCAATGCACCTGAAATGGCACAATTTGTATTGTTGCCTCTTTGAGGAGAGCCCTTGTATAAAAAGAGGAGCTCACACCAAATGGAAAAGTATTCATGGATGATAGTAATATATATAATCAAGTTACTATTCACGCACCCAGTGTTAGGAGTTGCAGTGAACTCTGTCTAGTTACTCTACAAGTACGGGAGACTCCCCACTTCAGACAGTCACCCCCCCAAGTCATAGAAGGCAACAGTGGCTAGCGTACTGTTCTCCAGTCATGTGAATGGGCCCTACTTTTCAGTGGAATATTGCTTTTATAGGCTACTACAATTCAAATCGTCATTAGACTAACTTCTTCATAATTGTCCAAGTATTCAATAATAACTGGCTATGTTACTGAAAAATCCTCCAGTTTAAAAGTAAAGGGCAGCTTTAAAAGTATAGGGTTATTCTGGAGGTGGCTTTCATAAGTGGGAGAACTCTTCTAATGTTGCAAGAGCTTCTCATGTGAAAAGAGAACTTTAGCACAAAGCTTCCATGAGCACAAAGTGTTGTGCAATCTCTTCGGCAAGGCCTTGTACAACGTCTCAAGCTGTGCTAATACTACCGTATTTTTCGCCCCATAGGACACACTTTTTCCCCTCCAAAAATGAAGGGGAAATGTGTGTGCGTCCTATGGGGCGAATGCGGCATTCGCTGAAGCCTGGAGAGCGAGAGGGGTCGGTGCGCACCGACCCCTCTCGCTCTCCAGACTTTGCGCGGCTCTCCGCAAGGCGCGGGAGCCCAGCACTGGGCTCCCACAGCTTGTGGAGAGTTGCCTGCATGCAGAAGGCTGGGCGCGCTGAGCTCAGTGCGCCCAGACTTTGCGCGGCTCTCTGCAAGGTGCGGGAGCCCAGTGCTGGGCTCCCATGGCTTGCGGAGAGTTGCCTGCATGCAGAAGGCTGGGCGCGCTGAGCTCAGTGCGCCCAGACTTTGCGCGGCTCTCTGCAAGGTGCGGGAGCCCAGTGCTGGGCTCCCATGGCTTGTGGAGAGTTGCCTGCATGCAGAAGGCTGGGCGCGCTGAGCTCAGTGCGCCCAGACTTTGCGCGGCTCTCTGCAAGGTGCGGGAGCCCAGTGCTGGGCTCCCACGGCTTGTGGAGAGTTGCCTGCATGCAGAAGGCTGGGCGCGCTGAGCTCAGCGCGCCCAGACTTTGCGCGGCTCTCTGCAAGGTGCGGGAGCCCAGTGCTGGGCTCCCACGGCTTGTGGAGAGTTGCCTGCATGCAGAAGGCTGGGCGCGCTGAGCTCAGCGCGCCCAGACTTTGCGCGGCTCTCTGCAAGGTGCGGGAGCCCAGTGCTGGGCTCCCACGGCTTGCGGAGAGTTGCCTGCATGCAGAAGGCTGGGCGCGCTGAGCTCAGTGCGCCCAGACTTTGCGCGGCTCTCTGCAAGGTGCGGGAGCCCAGTGCTGGGCTCCCACGGCTTGCGGAGAGTTGCCTGCATGCAGAAGGCTGGGCGCGCTGAGCTCAGTGCGCCCAGACTTTGCGCGGCTCTCTGCAAGGTGCGGGAGCCCAGTGCTGGGCTCCCACGGCTTGCGGAGAGTTGCCTGCATGCAGAAGGCTGGGCACGCTGAGCTCAGTGCGCCCAGACTTTGCGCGGCTCTCTGCAAGGTGCGGGAGCCTAGTGCTGGGCTCCCACGGCTTGCGGAGAGTTGCCTGTTCTGGGGGCTGGGGTCGGGGGAAGCTCGGGCTTTCCCCGCCCCAGCCCCACACCGGGGGGGGGGGGAATAAATTTTTTCCCTTTATTTCCCCCCCAAAAAACTAGGTGCGCCTTATGGGACGGTGCGTCCTATAGGGCGAAAAATACGGTATCTTACACAAAGTCTTCCTCTAGTTCAGCAGTTCACAGAACACTGCCACTACCATAATTTACCTCGTGTGATGCTGGAGCCAATGGGCTATGTCCTATCCCATTGGCTCCAGCATCCTTACTCCCAAATCTACACTTCAGGTAAGACCAATCATTCTACTTATTCTGTTTGCACACTTCTGGATGCAGCCCACTGTAATCCCTCCTCAAAATACTGCTCAGTCAGATACTGCAACCTCCCTTTGTACTCATCTGTATCCAGTTGTAACTATGACAACTTAGCAGACGCAGATATGCTTTCACACCAGGGATGCTTTGCTGCACTGTATTATTCCATAACAACCATCCTTACTAAATGCGATTCCAGTGCTATATGCTTGTACAGCATGAAACTGATTATACCTGAAGCAAAATATCTTCACCATTATTACTGCTGTAGCTGCTCATACTAACTGGACACTATTGACAGTATTTATTTATTTTTAAATCCTGCTGCTGTCAAGAAGTCTTATACAGTAGGAAGGAATGGGGTGTGTGCTACAGCTGGACTGTATGAGCCATTTCACACATTACGTGGGTGTAGACCAGTGTAATCTTCTGTACTCCTGGCAAAGAGTTGCCGCAAAACCTTACTTTTCATTGAATGTGCAAGTTCTCTCATGTGCTAATTACTTTATTAAGTGTGCCCTTTAAAACAAACAAAAAAAATCCTCAACGGAAACCTTTAAAAACGCAGTGTGTGGTGAATTGCATTCTCAGTGAGTTTGTAGTAAAAGTAATTACCAACCATAGAGTCATTTTCATTTGAGCATGCAATGCGGTTTCATGTTGATGAGATAATACTACATATACCAAGAACCATAATGGCCACGTCTTTCATTCTGTCTGATCTTCTTAATGGTCACTTTTGCAACCATTTTGAAAGCCATATACCATAAAATATTTTTAATATTATTCTTTTGCTAAAGTCTTATAATACTAGATTTAAAATGCTTTTACCTCTTAAGCCTGCAGCACTTAAACATAAGTGGAAATAACTATCCATTGTAGTTTTCAGGACATGATGTTTAGAACGGAGGCAGCAGACTTCTTAAAACAAAATTTCGCAGAAATCGGTAGAATGGCCACAGAATATTTCTCATATAGGTTGTCTTCAAATAATTTTTGTGGTCCAATAAATTTTATACTGCAGAATAGCTGATCTAATTTTGTTCAATAAAAAAAAAGTTAAAATGAACCTTTCTACCTCTGAGACTTTGAAATACCAATCCTGTAAAAATTGCCACATGACTGCCAGTTAAAAAGAGCTGGATGAAAGGTACAGAACATCTAACATTAAGTCAGGGACAAAATGCAACACATTAGGTCACACTTGAGAAAATCATAGTAGAAAGCCTGCGTTTGGTAGTCAAGGCAACAGCAGACATGACTTGCTGAGAAACAAAATAAAAGCAGATATACCTTCTTTCTGTCATCTGTTCACATTGATGAAAGCAATTTTATCATCACTGTACATTCAGACAAAAAACCCACATGTTGAATAAATCCTTGCATTTCTGCCTGATATTCCTCTTTTGTTTCGCTCTTTGTAGGTCTACTGGGAAGGAGTATGCACTGAAGATTATAGACAAAGGAAAATGTTGTGGAAAGGTATGAGAGAATATAGAGCTATAGCATTATAAGGTGGGGAGGTGCTTCCATAGTAATCTTACCTGATTTCAAGTAAAGGCAAAATTATAGAGTTTTAAACTCACAGATAGTTAATTTGTCAAATTTGGCTTCGCTTACAAAAAGTATTTAAATTTACAATTCATCTGGGCAAATCCCGCCAACCATGTATGTATATTAATTTTGTAGAGCTGCATGGATATTCACAAAAATTATGCTTAGTCAGATGTAACAAAACATTCATCAAGATAGCATTTACATTGCTCGTGAATTTATTATTTGTAAGTCAGCAGAAAATGTGTCTCATCTGCATCATTAATTTAACAAAGACAAAATAATGGATGGTGTTTTGGGTCCAAACCAGCATCACTAGGACAACAGTGGGAAATTCTAAAGTGCTGCTTCAAAGGGATTGAAGTTTATGTTCTATATAAAGAAAATGCATTAAATATATGGATATATTTTACTTCAGAGTCTTGAGAATGAAGGTAAGTATTTTGGAGTAAAGGTGTTTCCAGAATTTGCCTTTAAAGAGTTGCACTGTAATGCACCTTATAGACCACAATAAGAGATTTCCAGCCCAGCATTTTAAATCAGTCCTATTTTAAGAAAACAGATGTTTTATCAGTGTTCTTTGTTTTATGTATTTAAAAATAATGTATACCGAGCTGCAGTGTAAATCTCCAGATGGTAACCACAGTATATTAAAAACCATAAACAATGTAAAACAACAAGTTTCAGAATAAAACACACACAGTAGAGAATGCTTAAACAGTCCAAACTTTGAAGTCATAATGAAAGCATAACAGGAAGGATGTCATGCTGCCTTTCATGAAGGACATTCCAAAGTTATGGGGCTACGACAGAAAAGACCCTGAACTTAATGTAAGATGATAATTCTAAGCACAGCCTCAGTGATGCATGGGGAAGGAATGTTCATATGTGAAGAGACTGAAGAGACTTTACTGAGGGTAGTTAGAACCAAGAGCCTTTGATATTTTCATGGAGGTGAAAATATTTGCTGAAAGGGGCATCTCTTCTTCAGCATAGACTAACAACCGTTTGTTTGGTTCCAGAAGCTTCCAAACTTCTTGCAGCTTTGCCAGAGGGGAGGAAGAACATTAAATCCCAACCATCCCAATAACCACAGACAAAAATACTGATGAAGCTATCTTCAAAAGCTTCTTACTAATTGTCAGTAGCTACTTCAACAATAGTTCACTAAATCAGCGGCACCATGCACAGTAAATTTAAATAATCATTAATAGGTAACACTTTAAATATCACTAGTCTCTAAATTTCACACATTATTTGATATTTATTATATTCCTCCTGATACACAGTTAATTTACCTAATTATAATAAATCCCCTCATTTTCTCAGTTGATCTGATTTATTTTTTTAAGGTTTATAGCTATAAACCATGTTTTAAAAACCCATTCATATTTTGTTTTTCTTTTCTCCAGCACACGGTTGTTTGGAGCAGACATATATGTTTGTTCCAGAAAGACTTTTGATGCTCTCACATATTGGGTTTCAAAGGTGCGATCTGTTTAAGCCACGTCTAATGTTCCACATCTTCACAGGAGGAAATGCACGCACAGCATGTGGGTTTTTAGTAACTAAATAGTTAGGGTAAAATTATCGAAACTTCACAGATTTGATGCAAATTGACTCCCCAAAGCCATTTGTTCAATGGTATTTTATGGTGTAGGACAAATCGCATCTAATTTTTCAGGCACTGCTCATGTTCATCAGTCGTAGAATGCTCACATGTACTTCCCGCAGGGTTTTCCACAAATGCATGAAGTGCATGTTGTTAGAATGTTTGTACTGTGATAAAGGTGAGGTTTCTGGAATGGTTGTTTCGGTGTCTTCCAGAGTGTTACAGCAACCATGATTAACTTTAAAATAAAGTGGCTGGCCTTCCTGGAGCATACCCAATTGGTTTCTTGTAACTGAAAACGTCTAAAGATTTACCTGATTTTAAAAAATGGCATGCCTTGTTTTTCATTTTTAAATCAATTTAATGAGGAACATTTTGGAAGCCCTTGGTAACAAAGGATTTATTAAATCGTTCAGCCTATACCTATGTTGCTTCACTAGAGATATCTCAATAACTACACTGTAAATGATGCCGAGAAGAAAAGTGGAAAGCTGCACTTTAGGAAGCTGCTTTCTCATGTGAAAACTATATCTCAAAGCCACATTGTTACAAGGAGGATTTGTCTTGGTTTGTTTTTCCCTTCCTCTCCTCTTCCCAATAATAAATAGGAACACTTGATTGAAAATGAAGTCTCCATACTGCGCCAAGTGAAACATCCCAATATTATCATGCTAATAGAGGAGATGGATACTGCAACCGAGCTCTACCTGGTGATGGAGTTGGTCAAGGTGAGAGGCTTTCCATCACTGAATATGAAGATATTGAATGTTCCGGGGTCCAGTACCTCTGCATAATAGTCATGGTACAGAAAACAATGTTGTGACATCATGGGACTTTCCTCTCCCATCCTAAAGTAGTTCCCAGCCCACTTTTGAAATTCCTGTTCAGAGCGATAGCTGGTGTTCCTATGTGCCTTAACCTGCAAATTTTGTAACGTGAAAATAATAATTATTTCTGAAGTCTGATTCTGACATATATGATCGTTATATACATTGCATTTACATACTAAGTTATCATGGATATCCAGATGTAGAAATTTGCTGCGCAATCGTGTTATGTTTCTGCACTGTTTTAAAATTGCAATTTAAAATTAATATTAGATTGGCATGTAACCACCTATGTATAGCATAAACAGCCACCAAAGCATAAATTTGCAGGTTTCCTTTCTCCCTCAATTTTTTTAAATGTAGGAATTCTTTATCCAGTTCTTATTTACTTTCAGATTTCACTTCACATTTGGCAGAAGTAGCCCTTTAAAGTTAAATAAGAGCATTTTTGTGTTCAATTTATTTTTCTTAATATTTACCTCTGCTAGAAAGCACATTAAAAAAACACAAACCTGTGTTGTTTGCAATTAATGATTGAGAATTGTCAGACTTTAGAGACTTATGCCAATGAGGCAGGTCCGCAACACATGTAAAGCCCATGAAAAATGTCTGCTAAGATTTCATTATTTTATATTTCAGTCGAGACTTTTGTAGATTTGATTTTTTAAAAGGCATTCTTATATCTCCCAGTAAACATGGCACAGGGATTTTCAACATTCATAATCAAGCATAAGGGATTTGCTGTCTAGTATAATGAAGTTAGGGGACGCGGGTGGCGCTGTGGGTAAAAGCCTCAGCGCCTAGGGCTTGCCGATCGAAAGGTCGGCGGTTCAAATCCCCGCGGCGGGGTGCGCTCCTGTGGCTCGGTCCCAGCGGCTGCCAACCTAGCAGTTCGAAAGCACCTCCGGGTGCAAGTAGATAAATAGGGACCGCTTACTGGCGGGAAGGTAAACGGCGTTTCCGTGTGCTGCGCTGGCTCACCAGATGCGGCTTTGTCACGCTGGCCACGTGACCCGGAAGTGTCTCCGGACAGTGCTGGCCCCCGGCCTTTTAAGTGAGATGGGCGCACAACCCTAGAGTCTGTCAAGACTGGCCCGTACGGGCAGAGGTACCTTTACCTTTACCTTTATAATGAATTTAGGTGCTCCTAAACTCCATTAAAATCATGCATGTAGTTTAGCACTGTGGTGCTTTTCTTAGAAGTAAGCCCTACTTAGTTGAACAATACTTCATTTACCAGCAAGAGTGCATAGGAATGCAATATTAAGCACACAGTGAGCATTCTAGTTCCACTCATTTTGGTGAAGGTTTAGGTATGTGCAGCTTTCACACTATTGCTTCCATTGTGATTTCCCCAACATTGCATAATGGGGGGGGGGAATCTGATTTTCCTTCAGCAGTTATAAAATATGATGGATTTTGTTTTGTTTTAATTATTTGATCCTCCTGACCATTACAGGGAGGAGACCTTTTTGATGCTATCACGTCTTCAACAAAATACACAGAGCGTGATGGAAGTGCAATGGTCTACAATCTAGCCAGTGCACTGAAATATCTCCATGGTCTCAGTATCGTTCACAGAGATATCAAGCCAGAAAATCTATTGGTATGTTGCCTGTTTCATGTTATTCTCCCATCTCTTTGCCACGTTAACGCAAATTCATACCTATATGTTAAGCACTGAGAAGCAAAGGGTGTGTGTGTGTGTGTGTGTGTGTGTGTAAATAAACACAAATAACAGTGTGCCTAAATTCTATCTGCTTTCATAAAATATTGAAAACAATCTATAACAATACTTTTCAGTTTAAATATTACATTGTTAATATTACAGCGACAATTTGTTGTTGACAAAGGACAACTGGACATATAAAGGACCCCATTACCTTCAATAGCTTAGGGCCTCATCAAACCTAAATCCGGCCCTGGTTATATAACATCTAAACAGAACTCATCCAATAATCTGGCCGCTTAATTTTGAACCAATTGAAGTTTCCGAGTCATCTTCAAGGAAAGCCACACCTGCATCATATTGCAATAGCCTAATCCAAAACATGAGAAGAGTATCTGTGTTAATGCTTCCACTTCCCACACGTTAAGAACATTTGAAACCAGATCAGAAGGCACCATGTGAATCTCCCTACACAAAGACATACATTTGATTTGATAGCATTTCTAATAAATGCACTTTTTAAAAAAAGCTTAGTTCTTGCCTGACGGCTGAAGTAATAAAGTGAGACTCGAACACAAACAAACTTAAGTGCTATTTCTTGCATGTATTTACTTTAAATTCAATAAGGTGTGTTTTTTTAGCAAATAAGTAGCAAATTAGCTGACAGTGCAGTCCTAAGCAGGTTTGCTCAAAAGGAAGCTGGTTTTAATGGGACTTGTTCTCTAACAAATAAATCTGCTCTGGGGGGTTGGGGAATGTTGGATGCAGCACAGGGAAAGGGAAATCAGGGGACATGCCTCCCCTTCTCTTTCCACAGCTGGAAACATCCAGAGCAAAACTATGTTTAGGGGATGGAATCACTAGCAGTGATTCCAACAAACTCTGGAATGACTTGACATGAAATCCAGACATGAGACTATATCATATATGAGGGATTTCTATTTTGTTTTGCCGGGAGAGGGGTATTAGGAGAGATACACAGGTAGAGAGAGAGAAAGAGAGACAGACAGACAGACCTTTTTTGTAAGCAAGTTTTCATATATGAATAGTGAAAGTAATAAAACCAGTATCTATTTTGTGAAATATTTTATCTCTTTAATAATGTTTCCAGTACAAAAAATATCATTAATAATAACTTAAAGCAAATTTAATGTGAACATTTTAATGCTTATGCTTGATTTGTTTCTCTTTGTGGAAAGTGCAGCATGCAAGAACTGAGTGCTCACTTACAGGTACAGGCTGTGATTCACGATTGTTGATCCTGTCTGCTTTACAATAATAACAATGACATCAGGCACTTAAGTGAGTTGAAGCTCTTAGGCTAATCTGACACTTTAAGCTCTCATTAGTAATCAAATCAGGTATAAATAGGCACAGATGCACTTTTCACTTAGAAAGCCTAAAGAGATTACTTGACAGATGCCATGATTGGCATTGATTTGCAGGTTGGAATGACATAATAGTTCTTAATGTAAATTATTTCTCATCATTGAAATACATTTAGTTGCTAGATATAATGTCAGCCACTTGTCTGATTTGCATTCAACTTTACCAGTTCTTCATTGCTATATGCATATAAAATAATGGATCTTATATGTGATGTTTTGTCAGGAATCATGAGACTTTCTTTTATGGCTGTGAGGTACTGCAGTGCATTACATTTTTGTTTATTTAATGAAAAAGGCTTTCTGCTAATAATTGTTCCCAAGAGTGATAAACAATCAGAAAAATCAACAATAAGAACTCACCCAATAAAACGATATGATATAATTCAGCTATACATAAATCACAACATAAGAAATAATAAGAATTATTCTTATATGAGATCATCTTAAAAATATGCAATAAAAAGTTTAAACTAATCTTCTAAAGCTAAGTAAACATTGTTTAGTTCCTGCAGTTGTTTTAGCAGGGGTCTTTGGGTCTTGGGAGAATGTCCTTCTGTTATGTGGGGAAAGGGCATTGTCATGAGTTTGAGAGTGTCAGACTCCTCTAAATTTCTTGATCCATTAAGTGTTAGAATTTTATCAAGGTCTGGGGTGTTAAGATGGGTGCCAGACTTCTAATCCCTGGATCTAGCAAGTGTTAAAAGCTAACCAATCAAGGCTCGCCTCCTGGGTGATGGGCCATTGCAAGAACCAAAGGGGCTCAAGGGGCTTGTGTGAGATGACAACTGGGTGGGGGGCCCCCTCCCTTAACAGATAAAGCCAGAGTTTAGAAAGGCATGTGAGCTAGAAGCTGGATTCTAAAAGCTGCAGGCTGGAAAGGGGAGAGAGAGAGAGAGAGAGAGAGAGAGAGAGAGAGAGAGAGAGAGAGACCATGGCTATGGGAGAAACAAGGCCCTTTTGAGGTAGAAGCGTAAAGTTGGAAAGGACCCTAAAGATAATCTAATCCAAACCCCTGCAATGTAGGAATATGCAGTTGTCCCATACGGGGATCAAACCTGTGACCCTGACATTATCAGCACCATGTTCTAACCAACTGAGCTATCCAGCTTTGAATTTGTCAGTTTTCTTGATGATGGAAACCCCTTCATCGCAGACTCAGGTTGTATATATGTGTAAATTAACCATATATCATAAAGACACCACAGTCTCCTCTGTGCCTCATTTCCAGAAGGAAACATGAACCCTGGGTAAACGCCAATCGTTTTTATAAGGCCTGGTTTCCAGACCCTTGATCACCTTGGTTGCCCCCTTCTGCACATGTTGCAGCTTGTCACCATCCTTCTTAAATTGTGGCACCCAGAACAGGACACAGTACTCTAGGTGTGGTCTGACCGAGACAGAATAGAGCAGGGCTATTACTTCCCTTGATTTGAGCACTATACTTCTGTTGATGCAGCCTAGAATAGCATTAGCTTTTTTAGCAGCTACATCTCACTGTTGTCTCTGTTGCACCTGCATGATTATCTCTATCTATTTGCACTATCAGAATTTCTGAAGTTTTTCAACAAAGCAAAGTCATTCATATTTTGCCATGACTCAAAGGAATAGTTTTAGCAATCTTTCTATATAACGCACAGAGCTAGGGAGATTTTTCAATACATAAGCTAGCTTTTCCCAACCTGGTGCCTTCCTGAAGTTTCCGACTTCAACCCCAGCAAATCCGCTCCACTTCCCAGTGGGGAGGAGTTACGGTGGACCACGTGGTCACCCACTCCCCACCGGGGGCGGGGGACTCTGTCCCCTGTTGCCTGGGGGATCCCGGCCGAATGATATATGGCTGGCTGACATTGCAGAGGGCCTGAGGCATTGGTTACAGATGTGAGGGTCTTTGGCGGCGAGCCTTTGGGGCTCTTGTGGTGGTTAGGCATTGTTTGACCTTGTGTGGGGGAGGGGAGATGTGACCATCACCTGCCCCTCCATGCTTAAGGGTATTCCGTTAAAGGAATCTGGGGGTGTTGATCTAGTCTGAAGCCCGGCTGGTGGGCTAAGGCCTTGACATGACCCCCGATGGGAACACCAGGGGGAGCTTGAGTTGGTTCGCATCGACAGGGCTCCCTCTACTGGTGGCTTACCCTTACTGGGACTTTCTGCACAATGGGCAGGAGTCAAATATAGTCAGGTCCAATCAATGCCTAAGCCAATACCGCTCACATTCTGTAATCTCAATAAAGTTGTGGCCAAAATTTGCCCTATAACAGAAACCTAATATCCGTGTCCTCGTGTGAGTTATTTCCAACGAGGGGGTGGCTGCGGGGTCTCGACACGCTATCATGGTGAATGGTCAGAGACGTAGGCCAAAACATCTGAAGAGCACCATCAGGAAAAGCATCTCTTGCAGAGAGCTGCTTAGAAGTATATGTTTATTATGTTGCTAACTAAGAAAAAAGGCACACTGGGCAATTAAACAGGCATATTTTAGAGATGTAGTTGATCTATGGTATGCCCATTGGAACTATACGCCAATCGTTTTATGTACTTTCTTTTACTTCTTCAAAGAGTTCCCTGACAGTATAGCTCAGAAGTAAGTAATATAAGAATATAAGAAGCTCTGTAAGGCCTTCTAACACTTCCCTCAGAATATCTTCCCCACCATTTGATTCTTAGTCATCGATTTTGTAACCAAATTTGACTGTTAGACTATTTACATGCTTAAGTAGGCAGCTACTTTAACTAGACTTATCCACTTTGCTAATTCCACCCACCCACAAAAGAGACTCTCCACAAAAAAACAATTGATTTGCTTTTACAGTTACCTATTAAAATTCCTTGATAATGGTGTGTTGAAGATGAGAGCCGGTATGTTTGCAATGTATTAAGACCCAGGACTCACTCAGACTGGGTGACCCATCTTCCCTCCCTTGGTTTTTGAGTTAGCCCAGGTCATAACTCTGAGGACCATGAACCACTTTCTTTTTCCATGGCATCTAGATTGGCTGGGGAGAAGCATCTTTTTCACCTTCCTTGGAGTTTCAGCTTTAAAGGATAATATATAGCAGCCCTTTGTTCTGGACAGAATATTTTTTGTCACATGTTTGATGGTGGGTGGAGAGTGTTCATGAGAGAGTGTGTATGTGTTTATGGCATGTTTGGAGTGAAAGGATGAGTGTCCCAACAAACTAGCCAGGGGACAAGGCACCAACATAGAGTTGCAATGGGAGGTGCTTGTAAACAGTCACATAGCCCTGGTTGCTAACTGTCCTGCAATGTGGGGGCAACTGCAAGGTGGGAACCTGCTTTTACTGACTCATGGGACCCAGCACAGGGTTTTCCCTCGGGGAGGGCACTCAGGTGAGAGCAGCGTGGAAAGCCAGGCCAATATATTGGGGGGATAACTGCTTAGGTTCCTGTGTTATTCTGTCTTACTCATTTTGGATTTGATTGACATGAATGCAGGTTTAAATAAAATGGTAGCCTTCGTATGCCAAGACCAGTGTCTGTATCATTCTTGTCTACTACAATATTACAGTGGTACCTCGGGTCACAGACATTTCAGGTTACAGACGCTTCAGGTTACAGACTCCGCTAACCCAGAAATAGTACCTCGGGTTAAGAACTTTGCTTCAGGATGAGAACAGAAATCACGCAGCAGCGGCGCGGCAGCAGCAGGAGGCCCCATTAGCTAAAATGGTGCTTCAGGTTAAGAACAGTTTCAGGTTAAGAACAGATCTCCAGAATGCATTAAGTTCTTAACCCGAGGTACCACTGTATTGCTATTAGGTCTTGGGACTTCCGGGTTGGCGCCATCGCCGAATGGCGGACTCCCTCCGAGCTCCGGAGGGAGCCTGCTCGGCAGGGGCTGGGTCTTACCGCGCCGGCGACGCGGGGACCCTTAAAACCCACGGCCACGGAGGCCGTGGACATGGAGACTCGGCTGGCACCGCTAGCGCCCTCCCGACTCGTGAAGGAGCCTTTTTAAAGGCTACGGATCGGGTGCCGGGGAGAGGCGCGGTGCTTTGAGTCCTCTGCTAGCCCTGCCGAGCGAAGCCGCATGCCATCCGGCGGAGAGCGCTGACTTCTTCCATTGAGAATTCGGACTTTTAACAACAACCCGTGAGTAATTTGGAAAACCGGGTTTAAAAGGAGAAAAAAAGGAAATTTTTTTCGGATTTGGTACGAGCGGGGGGGGGGATCCAAAAAGGAAGTCAGTCCCCCTCCCTACTGTAAACATTCTAAAACAAGGACCGGGCAACCAAGGTCACGAAAGAACTGTATTTTTGATAAAAAACAAGAATTTCACGATGGGAAACTACAAGAAACTGTGCTGGAGGAGAAGAGTGGAGGGAGAAGGAAAGTGTAACCCCCCCCCCTGGGAACCGGGGCGATTGGAGAGAGAGCCTGGTGAAAAGAGACGGAGACTTTGACAGCTGTCAAAGTAGCTGTCAAAGCCGGGAAAATTTAAAGAGGACTCTGTTTTGAGGACTTTGCTGGTTAAATTTGTTACAATTTGCTAAGATTCGGATACAAAATGGCGAAAATACTGAACAACAACCAGACTTTTGGACTAGAGGAAACAAAGTTATAACAATCCCCCTAGAGGAGTTTCGGGACATTACAAAGATGGTCGTAAGTGGAAAAATACCTTCGGAATTTTACAGGACTGGTTATCTTCTGGGAAAGCTGCAAAACTGAAATAGTATTATGTCTACAGGGGTGTTTACATTAAAGGAGACAATAGAATTCTCTATTGAAGAAAGGAAGGGACTGAACGCAAGTTTTTGTTCCTGAATAACAAAATCCCCTGTAGAGTTACTAAATTTCTGAATTAGAACGTCTTAACAGCGGAACAAGATGAAACTGGACTACAACATGGAAAGAACAATGGGGGAGCCTTAAAGACCAAAGATTGGAGATTTGAAGTTAAATACAGTAGTGCCCCGCAAGACGAACGCCTCGCAAGACAAAAAACTCGCTAGACGAAAGGTTTTTTCGTCCGCGATTTGCCTCGCAAGACGAATTCCCCTATGGGCTTGCTTCGCAAAACGAAGCTTGCCCCGAGGACAGCGGGTCTTCTCTTTTGAAGCAAGGGGCTGCGGGGAGATAGCGATCTCCCTGCAGCCCCTTGCTGCAAAAGACGTCCGGGGGAAGCGGGGAAGCGAAGCGCTTCGCTTCCCCGCTTCCCCCGGACCTCTTCTGAAGCAAGGGGCTGGGGGGAGATAGCGATCTCCCTGCAGCCCCTTGCTGCAAAAGACGTCGGGGGAAGCGGGGAAGCGAAGCGCTTCGCTTCCCCGCTTCCCCTGGACCTCTTCTGAAGCAAGGGGCTGGGGGGAGATAGCGATCTCCCTGCAGCCCCTTGCTGCAAAAGACGTCGGGGGAAGCGGGGAAGCGAAGCGCTTCGCTTCCCCGCTTCCCCCGGACCTCTTCTGAAGCAAGGGGATGGGGGGAGATAGCGATCTCCCTGCAGCCCCTTGCTGCAAAAGACGTCGGGGGAAGCGGGGAAGCGAAGCGCTTCGCTTCCCGCTTCCCCCGGACCTCTTCTGAAGCAAGGGGATGGGGGGAGATAGCGATCTCCCTGCAGCCCCTTGCTGCAAAAGACGTCGGGGGAAGCGGGGAAGCGAAGCGCTTCGCTTCCCCGCTTCCCCCTGACGTCTTTTGCAGCTGTTCCGAAGTGGGGCGGGGGGGGCGGGGTCACCTGCCCCAGCCGCCCCACTTCGGAAAGCTGTTCCGAAGCGGGGAGGGGGGGCGGGGACATCTGCCCCAGCCGCCCCACTTCGGAAAGCTGTTCCAGGAACAGCTCCATAGGAACCTCCATAGGCGCCCGTCACCTCTCCAGCCAGGAGAGCGCGCGCGGGGCTAAACCAGCCCCCCGCGACCCTCTCCCAGCTGGAGAAGTGACGCGCGCCTATGGCAGGAGCCTCCATAGGCGCCCGTCACCTCTCCAGCCGGGAGAGCGCGCGCGGGGCTAAACCAGCCCCCCGCGACCCTCTCCCAGCTGGAGAAGTGACGCGCGCCTATGGCAGGAGCCTCCATAGGCGCCCGTCACCTCTCCAGCCGGGAGAGCGCGCGCGGGGCTAAACCAGCCCCCCGCGACCCTCTCCCAGCTGGAGAAGTGACGCGCGCCTATGGCAGGAGCCTCCATAGGCGCCCGTCACCTCTCCAGCCGGGAGAGCGCGCGCGGGGCTAAACCAGCCCCCCACGACCCTCTCCCAGCTGGAGAAGTGACGCGCGCCTATGGCAGGAGCCTCCATAGGCGCCCGTCACCTCTCCAGCCAGGAGAGCGCGCGCGGGGCTAAACCAGCCCCCCGCGACCCTCTCCCAGCTGGAGTTGTGACGCGCGCATATGGCAGGAACCTCCATAGGCGCCCGTCACCTCTCCAGCCGGGAGAGCGCGCGCGGGGCTAAAGAAACCATAGCCCCGCGACCCTCTCCCAGCTGGAGAAGTGACGCGTGACTATGGCAGCAGCCTCTGAAGGATGCACCGAAGCCTGGCGTGGGGGGGGGCGGAGAGACCTTCTCCCCGCGCCAGCCTTCGGATGGCTGTCCTGAAGACTTGGGGTGGGAGAAGGGTTTTCCTTCCCACCGCCAACATTCAGAATGCTGTTCTGAATGTTGGCGGTGGGGAGGAAAAACCCTCCTCCCACGCAAGCCCCGGGAACAGAGGGAAAGCGCTGCGCGCCTTCCCCTCTGTTCCCGTACCTGTGCTGAAGGCTTGCGGTGGGGAGAAAAGCCCTTCTCCGCACCGCCAGCCTGGCAAGCGGTTTCCCTAGGAACGCATTAATTGATTTTCAATGCATTCCTATGGGAAACCGTGCTTCGCAAGACGAAAAATTCGCTAGACGACAAAAATTGCGGAACGAATTAATTTCGTCTTGCGGGGCACCACTGTACTATAAAAATAACTTTAAACTTAAAAAAAAAGACTGGCAAGGGACTGGGGGAAAAATCTGATTATGGATTTAAGAATTCCAGGCAGACAACATAGATTGGTGGACAGGGGGAACTCAAACCGGGGAAGGGGGGGGGGGAGAACTAGAATCCAAAGGCTTGCAACTACTTTTTGAATTCTTTTTTCTATATACTTTTTATCTTTTTATATCTTTATATTGTTTTTCTTTATATATTTTGCTGGGTGTTTTTAATAAAAAAAAAGGGAATTCGTGGAAGGAAATTGGGGGGACCTTGGGGAGAGAATTTTTGTTTTGTATCAAGGGTAATGATGAGGACTGTATAAGCTTAAATTCGAATATTGGGCTAAACAAATTAAGTTTAAATTAGGAGGGAGAGCTTGTTGAGCTAACGATATGAAAGGGGAATATGGCAGGGATGGGGGAGGGGGGGAGTCCCAGAAAGTGGATAATGAAAATGAGGTTTTAAATGCATTCTGTTTTTGTCTTATCTTTACTTTCTGTTTTCTGAAAATTTTAATAAATATGATTTAAAAAAAAATGTATTGCTATTAGGTCTTAAGTATTTATATCACTTGCTTTCTACAAACTTGTTGCCACCTATGATGAACATTAGAAGGCATTTTCCACTTAGAATGACTGGAATGTGTTTATCTACTTTTATAGGGCAGGGTAGTATTTATATTGCACTTTCCCCCTCAATACACTTTGCATGCAATAATTCTTAGCAACAATCCTGTAAGGTATTGTCCCTATGTTTCTCCACTAACAAGTTATTATTCCTTCTCTTTTTTCTCCTCCCTTCACCCCTCCACCCCAGGTTTGTGAGTATCCAGATGGGACAAAATCACTGAAACTAGGAGACTTTGGACTAGCCACTGTGGTTGAAGGACCCCTCTATACAGTCTGTGGCACGCCAACATACGTAGCTCCTGAAATCATTGCAGAGACAGGGTGAACATGCATTATTAAAATGGGGTTTCTTATTATTGTGCTTGGTGTAAGAAAGTGTGTGTGCACCTTTTAATATGTTTTAAGAATAGTTATAGAGTGGTTGTGTATAGTTGTTTGAACAGGAAATATATTTGAAATCAGTGGGTTGTATCCAACTAAGCTTTACTTGGAGTAGACACATTGAAATTTATAGACCTACATTAGCAATTTCTGCTGATTTCAGTAGGTCTACTCCAAGTACAACTAATGTTTGATACGAACCCATTTATCCTAAGGCCCTGTATAAATAGGTATGTGCTTATGTAGGCTTGATTCAGGTGTTTAACCAGACTATTGGGTTTTTCCTGAGACTTGCAGAAGCCATAGTCTTCTGATTAAATGGAAGCCATAGGCTTCAGCTGAAATGGAAAACTTTGGTTTGGCAAAACCGCACAAGTTACTAATCAAGCTGAAGATGTGAGAGGAGGAGGGATAGGAAGAAAGGAGTTTGTGAACACCAAACCATCATTTGACATTACATCTGAACAAAGCCAAATATTATTTTCACATTGGATGATATATGGAATACCATGAGATATATAATATAATAATATCTGGTAGCAGAATATGAACAAATTAATCTCAGCCTGATCTTTACTTACTTCTAGGTCAATGGCAAGCTTTGTCAAGCTTTGCTTGAAAATTTGCTGTTAGTGTGCTGCTAAAATTAGAAATTAAAATGGCACGAACCAGTAAATTTGTATAAACCTGAAAACCTCCTGTGCAGAATCTTGTCGTGCATATAGAGGAAGTATCTTTAAAATGTCATTACCACCCCCTCCTCTTTTTTACAGATATGGCTTAAAGGTCGACATTTGGGCTGCAGGTGTCATCACATTCATACTGTTATGTGGGTTTCCACCATTTCGTAGGTAAGTAGTATGAAGTGACATTTAAAATGGATGATCTGTTTCTCCCTACGCTACATCACTTTCCATCTTTAAATTATATGTATTATAAATACTGTTTCTTCTCTCATATTTCACAGGCCATATATCTCCCTTCCTTCCTTCCTTCCTTCCTTCCTTCCTTCCTTCCTTCCTTATTCTGTTAAGTGTAATGCGTTCAGTTTATCTGCCATCAGAATATTCAGAAAGAAGAGCAATATTCGTTACAGGAAGAAATGAATAGGCTATATTGTTTGTCAAAGGTAGGCAGGCAAGGCTCCCAGCATCTTTGTCACCTTGTCCTTGAGTCTCTCTCTTCAGAACCCATCTGTTGTATTAAGCATGCAGAGCTTGCCCTCTAGTGTTAGAACTTGGACTTGGACATCTTATAACTATAATCAGCATATGGTGTTAGAACATTCATGTATCTGATGTCTTTAGATTCACAATTTTCATTTATTACAAACCTTTTGGTGGTCAAGGTAGCTGGACTTCTTGAGCCAGTTCATATATTCATCAAATATAGGGGCTTCCAGGAGTGCAAAAAATATTCATATTAGAATCATAGAACTGTAGAGTTGGAAAGGACTCTGAGGATCACCAGTACTTCTCCTTACAATGAAAGAATCTCAACTAAAGCATCCATGACAGATGGCCATCCAGCCTTTGCTGTAAAACCTCCAAGGAAGGAGAGTCCACCACCTCCCATGGGAGTCTGTTCCAGTGTTCCACTGTCAAACAGCTCTTACACTCAGAAAATTCTATTTGATGTTTAGTCGGAATCTTCTTTCTGGGATCTTTTGGTCCTTGTCTCTGGAGCAGGAGAAAACAAGCTTGATCTATCCACCATGTGACAGCCCTTTAGATATTTGAAGATGGATATCATATCTCTTCTAAGTTGCCTGTTTACCAGGTTAAACATACCCAGTTTCATCAATCATTCCCCATAAGGCTTGGCTTCCAGATCCTTGATCTTCTTGGTCACCCTCCTCTGCACCCGTTCCAGTTTGTCAATATCCTTCTTAAACTGTGGTGCCCAGAACACATGTATAATCTTCCTTATTGATTTCCCCTTTCTTACATTTCTTGAACATTTCCTTCTTACATCTTGGCTCATCTCTAAGCTCCTCTTGCAGAAATGGTCCTTAGCTTCATGAAAGGCATCCACAGCCCACAAAGCATAGTGAAATGTTTGCTCATATCCTGTAGGGCAGGAATGGGCAACCTGTGGTCCTCCAGATGTTGTTGACAGTTCCTATCATCACTGTTTTCAATTTCATTGTTCTGCATGGGGCAATGACAATAAAGATATCGAATATCGTATATATTGTTCATTGGCCATGCTGGCTCTGACTGGTGGGAGTTCAGGAACATCCAGAGGGCCACAAGTTAGCCACCTCTGCCATGCGACATGGCAATAGGAAGAGGTAATCAGTTCTGGTGAGCAAAGCAGCTTCCATAAATCAGTATACCAATGCAAAGGAAACTGAAATGTTAGCAGTAAAGGGCTGTATTCAACCAAGTTACCAGTATATGCAGAGTAGAACTATTGAAATTAATGACTAACTTAGGTCCATTAATTTTAATAAGTCTCTTCCAAACAAACTTAGTTGAATACCACCCAAACATTTCAGAGTTGTAGCCCCACAACTGCAAACCTCTTCCAGCTGTTCCTGCCTTGACCTGTGAGGGCAGGCTTCAGTTTCTGTACAATTGAATTCAGATGACTGTGCTCTTTTTAATCACAGAATGGTGCTTTATGTTTCATTTTATACATATTGTTGTACACTGCCCTGCTATTTTATGATATGGCAGTATATAAATACTTTTATAAATAAATATAAATACTACTTTATAAAATCCTGCACAACATATAATTTGAACCCAAGTGTGAGAAAATGATATGTTCCTTCACTGCTCAGGATGGGAGCAGCTAGAACAGGCTAGCATCTCTTCCCTGTTCTGTATAATTGCCCATAGTAACAGACTGATGTGCAGGGAGAATTGTGCTACTTTAGAGCCACTGAGGTGTTCTGAAGTCTTTCACTGACAAACCTGTTTTCTTTACTTGTATGGCTTAAATAAATTGAGCCCACAGTTGTATAAGAATGAAAATTAGGGCAGAGTGATACAGATCTGACTAATTGTTTGTTTAATGATCTCTATTACGTTTATATTATGAACAGTGTATTATATTTCTTCTTGGGTATTCTCTGAACAGAGAGCAGTTTGCTAATTCTGAACTAATCAATAAAAATAAATAAACATAACTTTGTTGTTTTTTAGCTTTCATAAATGATTTTTAAATTGACATGCTTTTTCTTCTTGGTTTTGATCCACAGTGAGAACAATGTGCAAGAAGATCTCTTTGATCAGATCTTGGTTGGAAAGCTAGAATTTCCCTCTCCATACTGGGATAATATCACTGACTCTGCTAAGGTATTAGGCTGTATTAATGATATTAAAGTTGAAGCTATGTTGTGGTTTTTGGTTTGGTCTTTGCTACCCAAACGGGTTGCAGAGTACGAAAGACACCAGAGCCATTGCTGGGAGAACAGACCAAGACAAATAGTTTCAATAGGGGCTCCCATGGTAATGCAGCTAGCTTGACACCTATTCTTTCATTTGGATATTAAGACATCAGCCACTGCAGTGGGACCAGTTCAGTGAAGTGATTAAGGAAAACACTCAAGTTCACATTCTTTTCTGAAAGTCAAATGAGTGGTGGAGTTTCATACTTGAAAATTATTGGACAAATTAATAGGTTTTAGGTAATATGCTGACAGGTGCTCTGCTAAATCAGAGTACGAACTTATCCATATCAAAGGTCAGGAGAATAGGTCAGTAGAATATTTATGCCTAGATGTGGGCAACAATTGACTGTAATCATCTGACATTGAGGAGAATGTAAGTAAGTTCACGTTTCATGCCTGTTTTGATTTATGACACAGTTGAAATGTTCCCATTTTTGTTTCCACTTTTGTAAAGTAAAATGAAACACAGGTACTAGGCTCTTATTTTCTAAATAAGAAATAGATGCTTTTCATTTGCTGTAGGGGATCAGGACCCCTTCCTTTGGGCATGGGCCTGTATTGTAAGAATAATGAATTCTGCAGTAGTGAAACAGCAATATTTGTTTCTGGGCAAAAGCAATTCCACCTCCAGTGTGTGCAGTCAATGTCAGTGTGATTTTTAGATGGAACGCGTTGCTGTGAATATCATGGGCTTTGCCTCCCAGGAGGGAATTCCCGGTGCAATTCTCTTATCTCAAAAATATGGCTAACTTCTGACACAACCCTCTTGCTACAGCTTTGTGGGATGAGTGCTTCCCCATTTTAGAGTGTAACCACAGCCGTCAATATGCTTTTGAACGGAAGGTGAGGATGCACTTGAGGCTTCCTTTTGCGGTCTGCTTAGCATCCTTCCCCCAGCATCTGTGCACTTTATTGCTTCTGCACAGCCAGAAATAAAGCTGCCGAAGAAAAATCTTAATTGGGACACATACTTACTTCATTAGAGACTACTTACGTAAACTCAAAGTCTAGTGGGCATGAAGATCGAAAGCAAAAATTGTGACAAAAGCAGTCTTCCATTTTTAATAAGACTGTAAATTGTGCTCATTCCTTTCCTCATGTTCCCCTTCCCTTTCCAGGAGTTAATTAGTCTGATGCTACAAGTAAATGTGGAAGCGCGATATACAGCCGCTCAGATTCTAAACCACCCCTGGGTGTCAGTGAGTAAATACTTTCTTATGTTGCATGTTTATGCAAAATTAATTCTAAAGAAGCCCACCCTGTGTTAAGTCCTAATCTTCTGAAATGCAGTTTGGCACATCTGCCAGCTAAGTTCTACCTTTACGCTGTTAACTCCAAAGCTGCTTGCATAGTCTGACATGTGCTGCTGTTGTTGTTTTTTAATGCCCCAAAAGATCTTCCATCTAGTTGCATGGTCTGTATTTGAAGGCTTCAGAAGACACATGGGTACTTGGCGGCCTTTGTTTTCAAAACAACTGAAGTTTCTCTCAGTCAGGCCTGTGCAGAGGGTGAGGGCAGCTTGGGTACACTTGCCCCAGGCCTCAAGAGTGCTAAACTGACCAGGGGCCCAGCTGCTTTTTTGTTTGAGTTTTTATTCTAAGAAGACTCCTGCCCCGGGCCTCAGACAAGCTCTGCACGGGCCTGCTATCAGTGTTGTTATTATGACAGAATTGTACTTCCATGTCAGTTTTCTGGTAAAGGAGACATTTTTGTTGCTGGCTACTTGATCAGCAGAGTCAGTCCTGACAGTGCCTCTGACATGTTGGGTGAGAGGAAGGGAAAGAGGCTCAATTTCTGGTCTGCACAATGCATAACCAGAATGGACAGAATGTTTAGCAGTATACAAGTAGTGAAAGAGCACTGGAGCCTGGGAGCTGATGCCTGATTTTGTTGAGCTCTCTAGGATGATTGAAGTGGCATGAGGAATCTGTGGTTTTCCAGAGGTTGTTAACTACAGCTCTCACAAGCCATGACCGTTGGCCATGCTGACTGGGACTGATGGGAGTTGGAAACCAATAATATACAGAAGGCCACAGGTTTTCTACCACTGCTGTACAAGTTTCAAAACTACTTTGAGCATTCACATGTTCAGGCAAATACCCGAACACACCTTATGTGTCAAATGTGGATGGCAGCAAGCCTGGCTACATGGAGAAGCACTGCAGGGACGACTGCTTTCGATTGCCTGAAGTAGAGTAGAAACCTCTGTAAACCTTCATTTTACAACATGGGAAAGGCTGGTTTTTTCTGATGAGGGGCGGGCGTTGCATGTCATGATGGTAAGGGCAGGGCTTGCCTGCATGCATCTGCCCTCCTCCATATGTTCAGATTTCACTGAGTCCCTGAACATGCCTATTGTGTGTTGACATTTTAGTGAACCGCTGAGAAGAGGCATGGGTATCTGGGAAATAAATTTATTGTGCTTCATTTGAAAACTCATCGTTCCACTGTGTTTTCACAGTTTGTTACCTTTCATTTTGTAGTTATTTTATTTTATTTATATCCTGCCTGCCCTCTCAAAGGAGCCCAGGGGTGGGAGTAGCATATACCGTAGAGAATGTTCTCATAGCCTGCATGTTATCATAGCATGAATTCATGATGCTCTCCAAAAGTCCATCAATTTCGATACAATCACAAGGCAGAAGGCAACTAAAGATAAGCTTTGCATTGGATTAACACCATAGGACTAAAAAGTGCTTATCTGTGTCCCTTAGCAGCCACTGGGATTTAGAACTGTTTAGTTACAGTTATATATCACACCCTAGGGGACGCGGGTGGCGCTGTGGGTTAAAGCCTCAGCGCCTAGGACTTGCCGATTGAAAGGTCAGCAGTTCGAATCCCCGCGGCGGGGTGCGCTCCCGTTGTTCGGTCCCAGCTCCTGCCAACCTAGCAGTTCGAAAGCACCCCCGAGTGCAAGTAGATAAATAGGGACCGCTTACTAGCGGGAAGGTAAACGGCGTTCCGTGTGCTGCACTGGCTAGCCAGATGCAGCTTGTCACGCTGGCCACGTGACCCGGAAGTCCTATAGAGTGAGATGGGCGCACAACCCTAGAGTCTGTCAAGACTGGCCCGTATGGGCAGGGGTACCTTTACCTTTACCTTTACCTTATATATCACACCCAGAGATTTTTCCATCTTGGTTTTATGTGGCAGAAGGCTCATACTGTGGAAAAGTTTGTGTCCAGGCTATTTCATGTCCAGGCTAATTTGTCATCCCGAAAGAAAGAAAGAAAGAAAGAAGAGAGAGAGAGAGAGAGAGAGAGAGAGAGAGAGAGAGAGGTGGGTTGCAATGCTTTTCTGCATGCTAAAGTGCCGTTCTCTTTTTTTCTTTCCAAAGGATGATGCCTCCCAGGAAAATAATATGCAAGCTGAAGTAACAGGTAAATTAAAGCAGCACTTTAACAACACACTACCAAAACAGAATAACCCAACCGCAGGGGTTTCTGTCATCATGGTAAGCAAATGCATCATTTTTATTATTTTACTAATCTACTATCAGTCACCTGCCAGCTCCCCCATACCACCCGCCCTCAGAAATGCCATTATGAAATCCTTCCATTGGAAAAGAGCAGTGAATATTTTTGGTTGTGTCTGTTTCCCCCCGTGCTGTGGATGCATTTTTAAGAACAACACTTTAAAAGGAGCTGCTGACGTTTTTTGTGTTTAATATTTTTTGTTTTATAATTGTGTAATTTCACTTTAAGCAAACAGTTCAGACCTATTTAAGTCATCTCTTATCTTTGTGTCCAGTCACAGATAGCTTTCAGCTATTCCACCTGTGCGCTAAATAATTTTTATTTCATAAAATACAGCATTTTGGCAATGATGTTCTTAAAGATGCTACCTTATGTTAGCGGCTTTTGTTTGCACTGCTACACAAATATGCAGCACCAATAGACATTGTTATGCAGTAGGAAACCAAAGTCATTTCAGGTTTGGGGAAAATCCTAAGATTTCTGGAAAGAATTATGGTGGTGCCTTAGCCTATGGCCCTGTACTCACTTACCTCTAGGTAAAACCCTGTCATCATGGGTAAGCAAGAAGTATAAGATTGCACTGTGTCATTGTACATTCATAGCTATCTGTATCAGCTTATGAATGACAGTTTAAAAAGTAGTATTTTATTTTAGAATGAAATACAGCAGTAGAAGGGGGGAAATACTTTAGACTGATGCTGTTGCTTGCATTTCATTTGACAGTTTGACTTGACAGTCTGAGGGGCCCCAGAACTTCATACTTTGTATTTTTGAGACTTATGGATAAACCTGAAGCAGAAACCTGGTATAAAATATATTATTTAACAGAGTGATTTTAAATTCTAACTCTTAGCTGCTCGCAAGTTTGCACGCCTTTAAGCTTGCCTCCAGTATAATGCAGTTTCTGGCTTCTTATTGGTGTGGAGTTTTCTAATCCTCTGGCCTGATGGTTTTGTTTCTAGCCAGTGAAACACACTGCAAACACTACTTATGGGTTTTCGTTGCCTTCTCTCCTTCCCTGCTGATTAAACTGCTGCAATACAACTGAGTAAATATGTTTGGGTAGTGAGAAGAAAATGGAGATGTGTAGTGCTGACTATAGTCACTTGCTGCATTAATTAAATGGGAAGGGAAAAGCCAGGATGATTTTAGTATTGAGGTGTAGAACATATACCATAATTTCCGTAGATGTTCAAAGCCTACCTGTTTGGCTCCTCTTCTGAACTAAATAGCCAACCTGTAATCACAGGTTGGCTTGTACATTACTAGGAACTACAGGGAAAGTGCATTTATTCTGTTCATGCTTCTGTGGCAAGATTTGTAAGAGGAATTTGGCATCTCCTGTGTGGTGAAGCATGTGTACACTTAGCTCAAGGGCAGTTTGCTCATCTTCCCATGAGAGGTGGTAGTGGTGGTGAAGGCATACATAAATTATTTTTTATCACACAACTGCAGAGGTGAACACAACTAGAAGGGTGTATGTTTTTGATTCTGACACACATTTTCTTTTGGGCTTCCCGGTTACGTGCAAAGATCCCCCCAGAACCTATTGCCAGTATTCTAGCAACTTGGTCCCATTGTATACTGTGAATGAGCCATTTCTGTATATTTATATAAGAAATCACAGCATACAGGGGAAAACAGAGATGAGGAGAGATGCCATAACAAAGTCGTCCTCGCTTTTTACTTTTAGTATCTATTTTTATTTGTTATTGAGCCCTAAGAAAATATATGTTTAGGGAATGTGGTAAAATCATCTCCACATCTATTCAGCAAGCATTCATTTCCTGTGTTCTGCTGTATACAGAATTGTCTTAATTCCAATTTATTTTCAGCTTTGCATCACAAAAACAGTTCTTTCACTGAGATTTTGAGTTAAAGCAGACATGGCCCTCATGTGGTAGAAGAATGAAATTGCACCTTTAAAAAATACAATATGCTCTTTCCCCCTTGGAATCTTAAGATATAATGGGTTGTATCCAATGTCAGTCTGACTCGGGGTAGACCCATTTAAACTGATAGACATGACTAATGACTACCTCGGGTCCATTAATTTCAGTGGGCACATTCTGAGTAGGGACTATCATTGCATTAAAACCATTTACTTAACTAGTTCTAGTGCTACCTTTTAATTTCAGAATAGGGTTCTTTACGTTTATAAATGTTGCAATACTATTGGTTCTGCTTCAAGTAAGTCTAGTGTCTGTCCCTTGCTTTCTTCTTTTGCTTCCTCTCCCAATGCCTGCATTGCTTTCCTCTGAGTAGGTCCAAGGCAATGGTATGTACTAATTACGATGCTTTTTCGCTACATTAAAAATATGTTCTTTTTTTAGTTTGAAAGAAAAGGAGAAGTAACCAGATAGCAGTCTGAAGTGGGGATGTCTGTTAAGTGATGCAGAAGAGGCACATGGCAAGCTTTCATTGCATTTATATGTTTGCGCCATAGGTACCATTTCAGCCATGCATGGTGTTTTGTGTCCTGTGTCTTTGGGTACAGATTCTTTTTTAAAGTAGAACTTGTACTGTCTGCAGAAAGGGAAGATAACGGCTCTCCTGGGATGCTATTTGTTGGATTACTGATCCATAATCCCCAAACTGCATCACTACCACTGTCAACATGGCCTCGTGGATGTGCATTTCTGTGGTCACCCTCATAAAGCAGATAGAAATAACTAAAGTTGTATTTTGAGGCTGTTTAACACACTCGTGAGAATGAAAGCTTTCCCAGGTGGTACCATTTTAGGTTGCAAGTGTGTGGGACAAGATTGTTTGAAATATCTCTGCCCGCCCCATTTCATCTGGGACCTCGATGGTCTTACGAAATTTGTATATCATGGGGAAAAGATTTGTCTTAGCTTTCACCCTGATGTGCTAGTTATGGATGTGCAGGAATTCTTCTAGTTGTGGGAATGACTACTCCCACATCAGAAGCCTGAAGTGGAAGAGTTCACGAAAAGCTTTACAGCTAGGTTCTGGTGACCTCCTTAGATGATAACCACAGCTCCACATTGTGTGGAGTGGTGGCATTAAAACTAATGCCCCATTGATTTCTGTTTCTCCTCTAAGCATGGATTTAACTCAGAGTGCCTTATTGATTTAGGGTGTATTCATAGGATGCAGTGTTTTCTGTACAACAAGTATTCCCAATTATCCCCAGCTTCTTGTTCTGCCTAATTTGTTTGTGCATACACTGGCATGGTCAGTAGCCATTCCTGATATCCCTGTTGCTCATTCTGCACCACTGTGATTTCAGGATTTGGTGGAGACTATGTGAGCTTTAACCTGTGGATGGTTGGAGCTGCTCACATGAGGGGGGGGGAGGGAAGTATAGTATGTAGAAGAACACAACATCTTTGCAAGCATGCATATGTAGTCTTTGAAGTAGAAATAAGTCTAGCATTAAAAACTCCTGTTACTTTTATATCTTGTCCTAACAGCATGTTAACCAATTCTGGTCAATGTGCCCTGAGCTATATGAGAAAATGATACTGGTAATGGTTACATACCTAGATACCTACATACCCAGTCCCCTTGCAATTTAATGTTTTTCCACATAGAAGTGCCTTTATGCAAATCAACATCAGGGCTGCCAGTTACTTGCTAGTACAGCTAAATCCAGGGTCTGAGTGCTTAACAGGCATTTTTACTCCCACCCTGGCCACACATATGTTTTTTCCTCACCAGACTTGCAAAGGAGAAGTGGTTGTTTTTTTTTGTGGGGGGTGGTGGTTGTTCATTAAAATTATCTCACTGGCTTTGCAATGGCATGTTGTTTTCATGCAGTGCTTGTTCCTAACGCGCTGGGTGATGCATGTGTGAAGCTAGTCTCCGAAACCATCCACACTAACCACAAATTTACAAAAGCCTTCCAATGTTACTTCTCCTTTTCTTCAGACTAATGCATGCATCGAAAGATGGGTTTATTGTGTGCTGTCGAATATGAGAGTTGTAACGGTTTGGTGATGTGAGGTTTTTTTATATTTCTTCATTTATTTGTATTTTAGAACACAGCTCTAGATAAAGAAAGACAAATTTTCTGCAACAAGCGCTGTCAGGACCCTGGCCAAGCTGCTGTGGATCAAACCACTATGATAAATGCTGCGGCTCGTGATCTTCCTGTGGTCGGGCTCAAAACTTTATTTCCTGCTGCTTCTGAGCCACTCCAACTCTCTACGCACTCGGTCTCATCATGTCATGATGATACTGCAGGATTTTGAGACAAATTCTACTGAAGTCCATTGCTAGGTCAGGAATTTATCCACTACTATTCACATGCCCTCACTACTGTAGTTTGTTCACATCTGTCTGAAAGAGAGGTAGGTAGTATGTACGTTAGCTTTTAGTACTTTGACCATTATATTTGGACTTTCTTTTTTTTTCAAAAAAATAATAATAGTGTTAAATATAATTTCGAACATTTTGGGATGTGAATGAATTGATCTACTCTCATGGTAATCACATGTTGATATACAAACTTCTACATAGGAAGAACCACTAAAAGGCCTTGCCCACCAAACTCTGGTCTTCATTAAAAATAAAAAATGCCAGGGGTCAACAATTGAGAAGCTGTAATTTGTTTGTGTGACCTTACAAAGTTCAGTTCCAGAGTTATTCTGGAAAGGCAAGACTGGTCCTAGTGGACAATCTGTACAATATTGAAAGACAACCTGAGTGAATGTGTGCAGGGTGAGGGGACTTGTTTTCAAAATATTGAAACTAAAGTTTAGAAAACATGAACTTAAACTGTGTGGCATTGAATACAAAAGTAACGCAATCACGGGGCAAATCATTTTTCTCCCATATTTTTTTGGTATGAAGACTGCAGCCAACAAAGCATTTTTAAGCCGTTGTTGTTGGTTCTGCACCAATTCCCTCCTGGCATAGAACGCTGCTGCATGTCGCATAACCTAAATGGAGCCATATATTCAAAGCAAGCCAACTAAAACAATGATCTACTTGGCCAACAACACAGAATACTTTGGCCATTTTGTTTTTTTCATTAGCCCACTCTGTATAACTTCAGGAAAACCGGGACTATTGGGGAGCAGTTATGCTAAATGTGCAGTCAAGGTAGATGGATCTTTTATCTTAATGATCTTTTATCTTAATGCTTGTTTCAATATTGTATGTACTCTTGCTTACTTCCCTTTTGCTCCTTTTTAACAATTCTGAATCATTTTCTATTAGCCTTTACCTTAGAACTGTAAGATCTGCAATAAACATTCTTGAAAAGAACACTGGCAATTTTTCTTTTAGAAAGTCTATCCGATGTGTGTGTTAACTTGATTTCCTTTTGTCTTGCATGCCATTTACATTATCGGAATAGAGGCTTTGAAATTAGACTGGGCCTTCTTCTGTACACTCAGATTGAGGTTGCAATCATATGCATCCTTACCTGGGAGAAAGCCCCAATCCAGTGTGAATCGCTTCCAAGTCACTGCTACAGCCATCCAGGAGCTTTTCGAAATTTAATGTGAGTACTACAGAAAGTTACTTTTAAAAAAAGCCTTTCTTCATAGAACTGAACACACTTATCCGAGGTTTTTTTTCTTAGCACAAAAGAAAAGATTCATTACACATAAATTACAAATGCCTTTTTATTATTATTTTTCTAAACTGAGTTTTCCCCTTTCAGATCTTTTACCTTAAAGAGAGAGTAGTTGAAATGCTAGAAAAAAAACAACAATGTGAACTGCTTCAAGTTAGCAGCTGAAGAAAATTATATACCAATATAGATATGGAATGTAAGTTTCAAATCTTAATAAAGCACAACATACAAAGTAATTTATGCAATACAGACCTACAAAACAATACAATCCCTTTCACAAATATTTTCACAGAATTCTGCACAGCAATCTTGTAGAAAAAGTAGAATTTATGCAACACCAAAATAACATTGTTCCTTAGTATAAATTTTTAATTCATTACCTAAGAGGCGGGGGCTATTCCGTGATTTTCAACATGATTGGACAAGGACTGATGCAAACATGCCTCATTTTCGTATATGGTGTTGGGGTATGGCTTGTGCTACACTGCTCTCACAAGCCATGTTACAATGGAAATTAAAGCTCTTGCCACCAGAGATTCTGTAGGCAGAGCTGGAATTATCTTCTGCTTGCAGCCTAGTAGTGCTTATAAGCAGCTAGCAGAAGTATACTTTAGATCTCCACATGATTTTAAAAGTTATGCAGTTTGATACCTCAGTTTTGAGGAACAAGCCACATTTTGGATATGCATTAAAAGGAAGAGGAGGAGGAAAACGTATAGATTTGCATTTCATATAACAACTCTATTGCTGATTTCTTTTTCAACTGCACAACAAAAACAGCAAACTTTAAAAAAAAATTCAAAAAACTAATTCTCCTGACTTAGAAGCATGCTTGATAATTGATGGAAACAAAATTACATTTATCATAATTTAAATATTCTCGATTCCCAGAAATTCAGTGCTTGAAATAGTATAATCATTGGAAAGGTACAAGAGACAAAATGTGGTGTGGGTTAGCCCAGTTTAAAACACCAGTATTATAACCAACTTGCAGTATTATAACCAGCTTCCATTGTTAATCAAATATTCCTCAGCATTATAAAGATTTACATGAGAAACATGTTTCATAATATATCTAGTACAAGAATTTTAGCCATCTTAATTAGGTCTCTCCCCCCATACATGGATCAAAATAGACTTACTATGACTAAAAATATAGATTTTCTTTTTAAGCTACAGAACCCCAGCAGCCATTTTCTGCTTCTTTTCCCTTCCCCCACAAAAAAGTCAAGCAAAGTCTACAAAAATAGCAATTAGCTTTAAAAAATAGCGTCTCCCAGCAAATTTTAAGTTACATTCAGAAGTTATATTAATTATTTATAAGAACGGAGGCTCTGGCAAGCTACCCAAGCGAGACTCCTATGCTTCAAGTCTCCATTTAGCAGTAGGCCTACCTATGCCATCCGGCAAGTTTCAACATCAGTACCTAGTTTGGTATTCATGATGCCACCTGTTGAAATCGTTGTAGAAAAGCACTATGCTGCCAGAAGCCATGCCTGTCATTATACACCTATGAAGAAAAGACAGAAGAAAATTGAGGGTGGGGGGAGAAGCCACATTTAGCCACATGCCTACTTAGCTGAATGGTGGCAAAGAATGCCTGGAACTTATGCAGTTTGCCACTGGGTATTGTACACGGCTGGGATGAGTGGGAGAAAAGGCTTCAGACAAAGAAGCACACTCTACCTTGGCACTGGTTTAAGTTGGTTTGGGAAACCTGTGCAACTCCCATCATCCCTCACCATTGGCCATCCTGCCTGGGGTTGATGGCGATTGGAGTTGAACATCTGGAGGGCACCATCTTGGCCACCCCAGCTGTAATGGAACTAAACCTCTTATCTGTACAACATTAGCCAACAGAATGGCATGGATCACTCATTTCTTCTAATGGGGATAGTTGTTCCATCAGTGGGAGAGCTCACTCCAGCTGGGAAATGGCTAGCTCCGTGAGGCCTACTGTCATCTGGAGGAAGGCATTCCATCGGACTGCCCCGGTGGAACGTGTCAAATCTGAACTAGAAAATCTACAAAGCAAATTGATGAGCCAGATACTGGAGCTTTCACCTGGGACTCTGTCGGCTCATCTTAGAGGTGAGTTAGGTCTCTCAATAGCAACCAGAATTCATCTAAACTATGCTAGATACTTTCATAGACCAAATGCTTTTGAGGACCATATTCTCATGAAGCTCTGCTGGTTGGAACAACTAAGAACAGGAGGTTGGGCACAAAAGTGTCAAGATTACAGCTTACAATCTTTGAATGGAGAAATATCTATTATTTAGTTCATAATCTTAGAAACTGAATCTTCAACCATGATGCCAACCAAGACAGAGCATCCATTATCGCTGCCTGTTACTCTATTTGGTACCCTCAAATTAAGTGCAACCACTCAAGACCTCACTATTTTGAGAACTTTTCCAGAGTTACGCAGGGCCTTTGCTGAACTTAAGCTTCAATAGATGACCTCAGCATACTTAGAGAGGAGATACTTTGGAATAGCACAAATGGAACAGAAAAGCATTTATGGATGCAGTCAGGTTGGATAGCATGCCCTATTTGTTGATTTGCCCTTTACATACAGTGCCCAGAGAATTATTATTTTTTTATATATATTGTAATTGTAATTTATTATTTGTACCCCGCCCACCTGGCCAGGTTTCCCCAGCCACTCTGGGCGGCTTCCAACAAATATTAAAAATACATTAAAATGTCACACATTAAAAACTTCTTTTTATATATCCTATTCTCCATTGGTTCTCAGATTGATCCTCCTACTTGAACTCTTAGCTGAAAACACCTACAAATCTGGTAGCCAAATTTTCTCTGACAGCTATGAAACTTTATTCCAGTTATGTTAATGCACTGTAATTTTTAAAAAATGTTGTAAATTATAGACTTATATTGTGTGATTTTAGCGGAATGTCTTGTTTTTTGCCCTTTGTAAGGCCTCTGGCTATATACAATAAATTGAACTGAATGGGCTGCCTCAGTAAGAGAGAGATGGGAAGAAGGGCTTATTTCATCAGCTTTCCTTCAAGTACCTACATTCCCTGAACTGTGGTCATTATAGGAACAACTCTTTAGAAATTGGTTCCTGGGTTTTTATTTCTATTTTTCTCTTCCCTCCCTGTCCCTTTCCCCCAATTTGTTGTGCTGTTTTGGGCTTTTCTTTTCTTCCTAAGACTGTTCTGATTGTATGCAAGCTGCTCTGGGAGCCTTTTCGGCTGAAAAACAGGGTACAAATGCACTAAATAAATTAGTAAGTCTTTTTGCTTTCTCGGTGTTACTTTTTATCATTATGGATCCTTTTCTGCTATAAAGATCTGTGCTGAATGAAACCAGTACAAAGCGGTATCAATAGCAAATAACTCAAAACGAACTGACTCACCTTTGGTCATAGGAAAGAGCCATGGATCGGATTCCAGCATCACAACCAGGATAGGCAAAAAGTTGCTTGAGGTCACACACTTGCCACACCATAACAACCCCATTGTCGCCTCCTGTAAGGAGGTACTGTCCATCCCGGCTCAGCTGAATTGCCTAGAAAAAGAAAAGGCAAGACGTCTGTTAAAAGAACAACTTTAGTCATTCAGTTCTTTCTTCCATGTGTTAATTAACATCCAACAAGGCTGAATGTTTTCATTACAAATGCAGGATTTGCAAATGCATATACAGATGGAGAGTAGATAAAACGCATAATACCATGATCACAACTTTTCCAAAATATACAAGTCAATACTTTTATAATTATTGCTTATTCGGACAGTGAGGACTTAACTCAAACTTGCAGGCAATGGCGGCATTTATTTTCTTATAAGCCATATTACATCCTATAAAATAAAATTCACAGAGTAACTTTTACTGTCCCCTGGTTATAGTTGGGAGTGCTGAATGGAAAACCTTCAACATGTTAACTGGAGGCTGAAAGTTGCTATTGATAATCTTTTAACATATTTGCTTGTTAAATTACGGGTGCATTATGTGGGCACAATGTCAACACATTGTTTCAAGGCCAAACTGCAAAGGTTATTGCATGGGAAACTGCTGCACTCTTTCAGAGGACTCCATCTCCTCAAGTTACACAGCATAGTCATTCCAGCCAGCAACATAACCTTGCCAGTCTCATATCTCTCTGCAAGCAGATGGGAATAATCAGAGAGCTAAAAGAAGCAGCGTTATCTGCACCATTTCAGGAGCTACGCTGGCATAGGTTTCTCCTTCATCATGCCATTCTCTTTTGGTAGATGTCAGCCCCGCCAGTCGAGTACTAATGCCTCACACTCATACACGGGAGCACCTCATGCTCTGTTAAGAATCTATTTCCTTGGGATATGAGTTGAAAATCACAGCCGGAAGGAACCATGAAGGTCATCTAGTCCAACCACCTGCGATGCAGGAATCTTCTGTTCAACGTGGGGCTCAAACCCACAACTCTTTAACTTCTAAATTTAGCTTCTAATATTTTTTCATTAGCTTTTCATAAATAAAACCTTTTCTCACAATTGCTATACACATTAAAAATAGAATAATAAAAACCGTTCAACTCAGTATAAACTGCAGTATGGCTAAATTACCTATCATGGTAGTTGTTATTTCTTATGACAAGTCCCAAATACGTGTTACACATTTTTCACCTAAGAAAGAAACTGTACTTGCCCTTAGAATCTAAGCACATCAGGTACATTAT